GTTGTCTAAACATCTTTGGGAAGTTAACAACTATAATTATAGACAGGTGGATCCTAATCTTGTCAGCTCACTCAAAAATTACTTAGTTCTGATCCTCTGAATAGGATCATTCCAAAAGATGATGACCCTCCAAAGGATAAGATTTTTCAAATCAACGACTGAATTATATGTAGTTGAAAAAGAATATTAAAAAGTTGAAGATTTGACAAATAGTTACAATGAAGAATTGATGAAAGAAATAACACAAAATGATGTATCTTTACTGAGACTCACTACATGAAAGTATGATAAGGAGTGAAGTACAACAAATGAATTGTTCCAGTTCTATCAGATCTTATTCGAAGTAAAGACTTTAGTTAATGATTGTCATGATGACAAGTTACTAAATCAAGATTTTCTTATCTTTGCAGGTGTCTATTGCTTGTATTGCAAACATGTTGAAGGAGATAAGAAAGAATCTACTTTACTTTATTCAAAAAGATAGGTTATCCTGTCTTATCCTGTCTTATCTTATCTTGTTTGTAAGGTAAAAATAGATGTAAACCACAACCTTATTTTCGGATTCCAATTTGTATGATATTTTTGGGTCCAAATTTCAAATTAGTTTAGCAAAGTTTTTAATTTCACTTGTACTGTATAGTGTGTCTATAAATAGGAAGACTTGTATTGTTTTAAGACAGAATCAATCGAATACAAGTTTTTCTTCTTAAAAATGTATTCTTTCTAAATTTTCTCTTCTCTGAATATCTAAAGTATATAATTCTTATTATTTCCCTTACTTAGATGCGATTATGTTATATATTTACTTCTTATGAGGATCTGTGTTTCAAAAAACTTTCGATCCTGAAATCATTTTATATCAGAGCTCGCTTCTTAAGAAAAATATGAATTTGAGTAGACTTTTAAATCATGGGGATATTTGTATATCCTAAAAAAATTATATTATCTTAGGATGTTTGTTTGAAATGGTATGATATAATATTATTAATACAAACTTGTTGTAATAGGTATATGAGTTTTATTAAATGAAAAAAAAAAAGAATTTACAAAAGAATAATATGTTAGTCAGCAAATTTGTGCCGCCAATAATCACAGGATCTCATCACTATTCTCCTCCATTATTGGTTTATTCAATCAACCATGCCTCGTGCATCTTTTTTGACTTTTGGACGAACAAATTCCACAATCATTGTGAATGCCTTCAAACATGACTTAGCAAAAGTCATATATCTTCTCCTCCCACTGATTTCACTGCATTTCATTTCCAATTATACAAATGCATAATAACCAAAAAATTTGATTCTATATATCATCATTATCAACTAAACTTTCATACTTATCTTCTTCCTTTTTTAGTGCCGGGAAAAGTAGAAACTGAAGTTCTCCAATAGTAATTTTTTCTAGAAATTCTGAGACCTAGCTCAACCATGCATAGTCATGATCCATAATCGTAAATTGGCGCAACAACTATTATTTAATATTTTTTTAATTCAAAGATTGCGTCTTTGCAAAGAGTTTGCAGCATGAAATTCCTTGTCTTGACCTTTTGGTCTGTTAACTCCTCAGTGGTCAGAAATTATCTTAGCACTGTCTCAAATGGTGGAGGAGAACTATGATAAATGAGAATTATGTGTATGTTCCGTTCGTGAACCTTTGACAAATGTCCAAACTTGTAGCCATGGTAGGGCATTGTAGTGGAAACTATGGATTGTCCACTGGACTATCTAAAACATTCCAAATAAAGAAATTAAGTTAACAAAAGAAAACTGAACATTCATCTCTTTTGGATAAAAGCTAAAGATAGTTGGGTCATTGCGATGAACCATAATTTGTGAGTTTGAAACGTTGCTAGTTACACTGATTCTTTGAATCTGGCAGGGTATAATTCGTTGAAGAATGATACTTGAAGTTAAAAAATAAAATAAAATAATATTATTTTATTTCGTTGAGATAACATGTGTGCATGAATCTTGGAGTCGGGGATACCCTAGTTTCAGGAGTGGACCCACAAATCCACCCAAAAAGCATGTTGATGTTGAGATAAAACACCTTATTCACCAAAAGTTATGGCAGTTATGTAAATGAAAACACACACACACACGTGGGTATCCCCTCTTTCAGCTTTCAACCTTCTCTATCTTTTTTCGGAATTTTAATTAGTAATCAAAATTAAATAAATATTAATATAATAATAAAAATAATTTGTCAGCGAGATACATAGAAACATGATCTTTCTATAAAAAAATTTCTTAGGTCAATAATAATTTATAATTTTAATTTATTAAGATATTTTAAAAAATAAAATCATAGATTAAAATTTTAAATCAAATCATATACTATTATGACAAATAAATCAGGACAACGGATATAAGACCTTAAATATAAATAATATAAAGTAATAATAATTAACATCATATAATTATAAATTATCAATATAATCAACATGTTTAAATATATAAGATTAGAAAAGATAAAATAAATTTTTTTCAAATACTCAATAATAATTTTAACAAAATCATAATACATCTATATATTACTGTATATATATAGATACATCATTAATTCCAATATTTTAAAAGAAAAAACCAACAAATTATTTCTTTATGTTTCTAACAAATAAAAAATTGCCACCACAACGTTAATTTGAAACAATAATTAAACATCAAGAAGAACTACTCCATTACTCACATATTTTTCAGCTCCACCTATCCCACTAACAGCTCCATCACTACTTGCATGTACACTTCTGGGCCTCAAACACATATACATGAACAATCAGTGCCACAAATTGCAGCTACTTTTGCTTGAGATGCTGTGGAGAACAAATGTAAATTGACTTGCCACCCCAACCAATTCCATAACTCTGTTATCATCTATTAATGCTCCATACCACATATATCAATTACTTCAAGATAGCCCAACTCCTTAACAATGTTAACACCTCCCCCATAATTCACCCAATCAGGATCATATTTCCACTCAAATATTTGTCCTTTATCAGTCTTTTATGGGTCCACAAACCGCCCTTAATGGTGCTCATCAACAACAAAAAAAGTATTTGTCTATTCACCAGAGACCAAACCCACCAAAACATTATCACATGCCCTAAACAATACACACTTCGCCAACTAAAACTGAATAACACACATGCCAACACAGTAACAAACACAATTGGACCATATATACTTATTCAATTCACAGACAAATCAACCAATACCCCTAATGCCTATATTTGTAGGACCACTACATCAATCCCAAAAAACCAACCCTATATCTACCATTCTCTTAATAAGCAAAGTTACAAACTGATTTTGCACTTTCTGAGTCTTCCTTTTTCAATGCTATATATATCTTTTGCCCTCTTATCATATTATTATATAGATATTATGCCCTTCACAGATCTTATGCAGAATTCAAGAAACTGAATGAATTTGACAACCCAAGTTTCAAAATAAAACATGAAACACACAATTAAAGTATAGAACATCAAAAGCATATTCCTTTTTGCCTAAAACTGATACTTGATTTTAAAAACATCTGTTTCAAGATGTCATGTTTATAAGATACTACTCCATTACTCATTAGATCACTAATTATCAAAAGATTTGGTGATCCACCTAAACCATAAAATTATCCCTTGAATTCATTCCCAACCCACTAAAAGGAGGACAAAATAAATTGAGTGTCCAGTGGAACTTAGATAAAAGTAAGTCATTCATGTCAAGGCATGTCATCTAGTTTGGAACACAAAAATCCATAAACACTGATGTTTTTGGTGTTATCTGTCATCTTTAACACTCTTTCTGTGTGTCAAAAATGTATGATCAATGATCATGAACAAGACGTGAATGACCTATAAGATTCCCACTCCCACAATCTGCTCACTATAAGCTTGTCAATTGTCATTTATCTATCAATCATCATCCCTTTTTCTTTTTCTTCTTAAAAATATTTAGATCAATTCCATGAATAAATTCAACCTGTAAATGAGAACTTATACAAATCTAATACTCATTTGTATAATATTAAATTAATATACGTTGCATGTAATTATGATTTAAATAACATGATGATAGATATATGTATAACTGGTTTCTGTAATTATATTAAAGGGATATCGAGTGAAGTAAAAAATATTAAAGAAATCTATTGTGATACTATAATTTAAAATTGTAACATAACAATCACTAGTTTTTTAATAAATACCTATAAATGTTTATATTCTATTAGACATTCTCTGAGATAGTGTATATATACTTGTTAAGCAATTAAAAAGCGAGTCAAATATGAATTATGCATACAACATATTTAAATGTTGTTGATGTCATCAACTCAATGCATTATGCTTTTTGTAAAATATAAATAAAAAATAATATGTTTAAATTAAGTATATATATATATATATATATATATATATATATATATATATATATATATGAAATCCAATAAATATGAAAGAAAAAAGAAAATATATCCATATAATAAATTTATATTTACATATACAGGTATTAAAAGTTAATTTATTCATTAAACCTAAATCAAATGATATTAATTGACATTTTATGTTAAGAAATTTTTACTTGAAAACTACTCATACAATTCAAAAGTTACAGCACTGATAGCTAGGAAAGGTGTGACTACAATCTGCAACGAAAAACATAAAATTGACATAATTAAAGAATACATACACATTATTGATTCTTTGAAAATAATAAACCCTAAATTAATTAAGATTAATTGAAATCTTGCACTCGCAAATTACTTATACAATAAAAAAGTACTAGCACTAATAGCTAAGGAAGGTACTTAATTGTTTACAATCTCCAATGAGAAACTACACGTACGCACCATAAAATTGACACATATAATCCATTCCCATAACTACTTCACTGGGCTAAAAACAAGTATCTTTCTACTCATTGATAATATATATATATATATATATATATATATATATATATATATATATATATATATATATATATATATATTCATTGTAATTAAGTAGAAGTTTGAAGCATGAATCGTTCAAGGATTTGGATGACCTCTTCTGCAACTTGTGATGAGTATGAATCGTGAGTGAAAAACCCATGCTCACACCCCTCAAACTCAACGTATTCAATGTCTTTACCTAGTTTTTTTAACCTAGTAGCGTAGTCTTCTGCTCTATCCTTAAGCAATTCATTGCCACCAATTATCACCAAAATTGGATCAAGCTTCACTTCTTCAAGATTTGGGCTTCCAGCTCCAAATGGATTCGCCAATGGGTGGTCTCTGGATTCTCCAGAAGGAATTGACAGTCTCCAAAATCTGTAGCAAATAATGATAAAAACCATATTGTTAGCATGTGTGAAAGAGGGAGAGAGAAAAAAGAGACCTAAAACCCACATGATATGATGATCATAATCACGTAATATAGTATAAATTAAGATAATAATTTCGTCTAACTTTTTCATACCACATATTGGTCACTACAAGATAGTCACATAAAGAGGTGTGGTGTATCACTTCAATTACAATCATTATTGCCATTTTGATTTCCGAAAGTTTCAACAGTAATCCTTGACATGTATCTGTGCGGATGTTAGAACTCAACGTTTCTTATTATAAATAGTGACTTATGCAGTGACCAAGCTTATATATTTTATTCTGAATTAACATTCTTACTGTAAAAGTTGTAGGCGCCTTCAGTAATCGTAAATTATAATAATAATAATAATAATAATAAAAAATGCATATTATAATGTGAAAGGAGCACAAAAAGTGTTTAACTGGTTGAGGATTATAAGACTGCCAAATTATATGACAGAGGTAGCGCAAGTCTTAATCATCTCATATTCCTTTCCCATTTATGGCCAAAACGAAAACCAGCGTAGTGTGTGGGTCCATTCATAGGCATATTCATTAACTATGAGAGTGAGTTCACACACCACTGGAACCACCACTTCATACCATGTATTCATTTAATTACATACATGCCACTTCCAATGTAATAGAAGTTATTCTCATGATATTCATATACTTTGGAAAATTATAAATGTCCTCCCTCTTTGCTGAGGATTGGAGTAGAAGAAAAAAAAACGATAAATATAATAAGTTATGTGATAGAAAATAGAGAGAAAAAATTGAATAGAAGGAAAATAATAAAAGAAAGTAAGTATATCATCCAAAATTTTAGGTTCCTAAAAAGGTTATTTAGTATTTATGGTACTATTTTATAGTTGGTTTGTTGTAGTAATAATTAAAATGTGCTGTTTTCTTGTAAGACTCCATTTAGTTTTGTTTTTTTCTTAATGTAAACATAATTTATATATGAGTTTTTGGTCCAGAGAATTAATATTTTGAGCCAACATTATCCCATAATGTTAAACATTATTTATTCTAAATTGATTTTTCATAATGAAGGGCATGAGTTAATAATATTATATATGGATTAAAAGAAAAAGAATGTAAAGTGATATGATTAGGTTGGAATGAAGGAAGAAAAAGGTGTTGATCTCACCTATCTAATAACTCAAGGTTCAACATGTGCTCTGGTGGACCTTCCTCGGACTTGGTCCGAACCTCTCCGCCAAAAAACGGCGCAAACAACATGTAACCTCGTACTCGAACCGGGTCCATCTCTTTCGAACCGGGCCCCAAGCGAACCGCGAGGTGGTGCGCAATGTTCCCACCAGACGAGTCACCGACGACAAACACGCGGTCAAAGTCAAGGTCACGACTCAGCCAGGCGTCCCCACCGTTTTCGTCTTCCTTCAGCCTCAGCCCCTGCCTCTGGAGCCACCTCACCGCCTCCACGGCGTCGTCCAGCGCCGCCGGAAGCCGGTGTTCGGGCGAGAGGCGGTAGTCCGGCGAGAGGACTGCCGCTTGGAGGGCGGAGGCTAGGCGGGTGCAACAGTTGTGAATATGGGGCCAGGTGCGCGAACCGAAGCAGAAGCCTCCACCGTGAAGGAAAATGAGAATAGGAAGCTTGTTATGATTGTTGAGTGTTACGTGTTGTTGGGGTTTGTAGAAGCGAAGAGAAAGGTTGAATCTTTTGTGGAATAGGTAGTCGTTGAAGGTTATGGAGTGATCTTGAACGGGTGAAATTTTGAACTCTATATCGTTGGAACGTGATATAGAACCGTCGCTATAGAGTTGGAGGAAGCCCAAGCAATCCTCTATCACGTGGGGGAGAGAACCCATTGATTCTGTAGTAGTAACTATATGGTTTTAGCTACACCCACTTCCTTTTGTGTTTTGCAAATTCCTTTGATCATGTCCATATATTTATATAGGAGTAGGGAAAATTGATTTTGTTATAGAGAAAGTAATATTTTATGGGGAGACAAGAAAGATAGAGAAGTGGAGACTGGTTGCGATGGTGGAGGTATCCTTGTTCATGTTAGTGGGGATAGGGAAGAGTGAGGCATTTGTGTGATTCTAATTAAATGAAATTAATTCCTTCGCACATTCATCTTTGCTTATTGGTTTATTTCATTTTCTTCATGTCAATATATATATATATATATATGGACCTAATTAGCTACATTCCAATCTTTATTTTGCAAGCTCCATTCATATATCATATTATTTATATAAAACCCATGCAATATCAAAACGATGTATCAGAAACTGAAAGAGGATTCAATGTGAAACTCTAAATCATTCTATTTTTATTTAAGAATTTAAAGGTATTTTTTTTATGTATAAACCGATGTTAAAGGATTAAACACTAATTTAGAGTCAAAATTTTAGGAGGTATAACCCCTCGATGCTTGAGAACAACACTAAGATCATCCTAATTATCCAGTTAAAAATTGTAATGACAAAGAGTTGAATAAAAATTGACAATTATAATATATATTTATTTAGGATTTGTTTTCGTATACCCATGAATTCAAGGTGTTTAGTAATCGTTATTTATATACACATTTTTCTATTAATCAACTGAGTTATATTTTAAATTTAAAATCATAATTAGAGTTCAGAAACGGATAGATGAGATAACATTTAAGAAAAAAAAAACATTATTATAACAGAAGAATAAAATTTAGAATATTCATAAAATATCTTTACATTAAATTTAAAATAAAAAATATGTGAAAATTGAATATGGAGATACGATCAGGATTCGCGCTTAAGATGATTCTAACGTCTTGTGTCTGGGTTGAAATAGTAAACTAAATATTGCCAGAAAAAAGGGGATAGTGGTTAGTGATTCGGATAGACACGATTGCATATTTTTTTATTTCATACAAAAGCTTTTGCCTTATCCTAGTTTTAAACATCAAATATTGGATCTGTTTATGTTTTTTCTTTTTCTTTTTAAGTGTAAGCTATATATTTCATTAAGCAAAACACATTTTGTAATAAAGAGTCAATCTTTATATAACTATAATTAGTTTAGTGATATACTTATTTATTATTGAAGAAAAAAAAAGATTACAGCTTATGTGTTGTAATTACTATAGTTGATTTTTTTATCGTCTTCAAAAAAATTCATAGACTTTTCTGTCTTTATATTTGTACTCTTATTCAATCTCATGTGGTAAGACTCCTTCAGCGGAGAAGACACGTGCATTCACTTTGTTTCTTTGACTTTCAAAATTATTTTAAAACGCCATATTTGCAGTACTATATTTTCGTACACATCGAGGAGAACAGTTATATATGCTTGAAAAATAAAATTCTTAAAACGTTGTTTTTATATATATATATATATATATATATATATATATATATATATAAAGTTTATTTATCAGAGAAAAGTATAATTTAAACCTCACAAACTTAAAATAAAACCAATCTTCAGTTGAAAAATTAATGAAACATGGGAGAAAAATTGAGTTTTTTTTTATATATTAATTAAGGAAAACCGAGTATTTTTTTATCACAAGTTTCTCTTATTCTACCATGTTAAATATTATTTTTCTAAATGATAATACTATTATAATTATTATTAATCAGATGGATTTGAAGACGATAAAATTAGTTATTAATTCAATTAGTGACTGAATTAAAGTCTAACTTCTAATAAATAGAATAAAAACTTAATAGTTTGTATTAGAGATAAATTAAAATTTGAATTCATAAATTAATTTAATTGAAGTAATTTATAACTAATGAGTAGATATTTTATAATTAATAAATTTTTTATAAAAATGAAATACAAAATTTTGATTATATAAATAATGTAATCAATATATTAATTCGTAGTATAAAAATTGTTGGAAAATTCGTAAATTTAAGTTTCATATTAACTGAGATATTAAAAGAGAATTATCCATAATTTAATACTTTAAAATTATGAAAATTTAGATTAAAATCAAGAGTGGTATTAATCTCCAATGAATTAAACTTATATTTTATTTTATTAGTGTTGTACATTCTATTAATCCTTTTTATGACGCATAAAAATGTGAGGTTGTAACCAATTAAGATATAAATATCAGAAGCAATTAAAAGTGGTGGTGATTGGTTGTTTGGCAATTGGAGTTGGATCCAATGTAGGTTTTGGTGTAATTAAATTTATATGGGTGTACTACATAACAACACAACACACCTCCTTAGTGGTGGGCCAAAAAAGCCATGAAAATGGCTTATCCTTGCTATTAATAATGAAATAAGCCATTATTATACATTACATCTTAACATGCGTTAAGTCTTTAGTGGCATGCGTTTTGTAGTATAAATTATCTTTCATGTTTCAAAAATCTTAATCACTTTATTCTTTAACTTTTTCCTATAATCGATCACATTAATGACTTAATGGTCAAATTAATCCCTTAATGGCACTAAGTTACCAGTTCAATGTAGTTTATCAATAATGTAAGATGTCAGGTACCATACTTTAGAATAGCTTTTTTTAGTGGCAAGAAATTTAAATGACTTCTCCATCATCGTATAACAAGTGTCTTTCTAAGTTTTTTATATCCTTATCTACTCAAAACTTCGTACTAGTTCGTATTATATACCTATAAGATGGAGTAAAAAAGTGATTTAGTTGTGTTTTTTTAATTTTATAGAAAAGGTACATTTTGGAGCTTTTGTTTGTGGATGGACATTGTTTTGCATCAATGGGTTTAATTGTACTTCATGTTATCATAGTTAACTTATCCATTTCAAGCCATGAAATTCGAGTCCATTTGGAGTCAACCATGATTTTCTTAGTAATAGACAAAAAAAGAAAAACAATTTTGTTTCCTAAAAGAATATTGTCAGAAAAATTGCTTAGATATTCGGATACTGATATATATGTTTCAAACAATAATTTTCTCTAGGGTAAGCTTAAGTTTTGTTCCCATCAGAGAACTTTCTTCTAAAATCATTGTTCCCTTGTCATGTGCATAACTATTATTTGAACAAAGTTGACATTAAAAACTTCTTTCTTTGATGAATTTATTGCGTGTTATTTCAGAATGAGTGAGTGCCACGAGTATTACTCCTTATCAATTATTTGGTCATCTTATCGTAGATAATGTGTCCCTGATTCATCCAAATCATTTATCAATACCCACAAATCGTACAAATATAATTTCCCCCGGTAAAATATATTTAAAAATATTGAAATACTTTAAACAATTATACAAAAAGATTTTACTCGTTTATTTAATATAATGTTAATATATATCTTTTTTTCATTTTTTATCATATTTATCTTTAGGAGGAAAATTTTTTCTCAACATTATTAAAATTGATTTTAATATTATATTAAAATTGATCAGATATCTAAAACCATCCTAATTTAATAAAATAAAAATTATATTCACCTATTTATTATAATATTTCTATATTTTTAACTTATTTGTGATTTCATCATAGATTGTTTATTATATCCTTGGGCAGGAATGATTTTTGTTCCGAAGAAAAATTATCATTACATTCTCTATTCTCTCCGTAAGGATTTTTACACAAATTGTGCAACAGGAAAATAAGTCTGAAGAGAATCTTTTACTTTTAGAGCCGACCTCCTCATATATTGTATTGTCATGTTCCCTTTCATCGTTATCATATATGGTCCTTCTAATCCTGGACCTGTACGTGACAAATAGAATACTGAAGACTCCTCTGCATATCCATTCGTCAATGGGCCATTTTCTGAGTCGCAATACAAATAGTTTTATACTATTTTAATTGCATGCACCACAACTTTTTTGGAAACAAAAAAAAGAGAGAGAAGAGGGGAAGGATCAAGTAGGCGCCCACCCTTTACGATACTTTTCTTTGTGACGTATGATCATATTGGAAAAGTGGAAGGAGCATGTGTCGTTATTGGAATGGAAAAGAACGATAGCGACGATGTTAAAAGGTAAACCCGTTAGTTTGCTACATGTTATTCAACATTACATGCTAATGAAAGGTGTAATTAGTCATAGCATATAGAAGATGGATCACGAGTCTCATCTTATGCAAGCCATGTGAGATGAGTATCAATTGGTGACTTTTTGATGGAATCATGTCCTCAAACACTTCATCTCTCCTCACAACAGATTAAAACAATCAAAATGAAAACATATCTTAATCTTATTGTAGCAGATAAACATCCCAATAGATTAGTCCGAACCATTTTGCGTAATTACACATCAGTTGTGCATAGTGATACAAATCCAAAATTTCCCACCTGTAAACTCGAACAGTGTAACTCTAAATAATATATAACTATATTATGTATATAAAAATATTTTATTAAAAACTATTTAAAATATTATGATTTTATTTTATGGTTATCATAATTCATTATTTAAAATATTTCATTATTTTAAGGTTATCATAATTCATTATTTAAAATTTATCATTATCTAGTTACTTTGCATTAAATAATGAAATTGATAAATTTAATTATAAGAAATATATTAAAAATATTTGTTTGATAAATATGAAAAAAAGAAGATAATAGAGTTTGTAGTGAAAGAAACATGTTTTAACTACAGTAGTCTCTGAAAACTAAAATTAATAAAAGCTATTATTTGGTTTTAATTTTTTATTTTGATTAATGATATATACATTTTTGTTATATCTTAATTTAGATTTTTTTAAATTTTGTTTACAATTATATTTTTTTGTCCATAATATTTTTAAGGTTAAATAGGTAATTTAATCCCTTTATTTATTAAAATGTTTCAATATGGTCCCAAAGTTTTTAAAATTTTTAATTTAGACATGAATATTGAAATTGATGTCAATTTTACTATCGTTATGTATGTTTTGACCCCATTATATTAAATGTTATATTAGATGCTTAGTTATAGTATCAGTTATGATGTGATTAGGTAATTAGTTATAATTATGTAGTAGATTTGCCACGTCACATTAAAATTGCAGGAAGAAAGGAATAGGGTCGTAGATGTGTTTAGGTTTGAACAATTGAGAGTTTGTGCAAATGGGTGAGGGAAAGTGAGAATCTGCAATGACAGGGGAGGTGAGAGTTCCATTTGTGACGATAGTGGAGGTTTAGGGTTCCAATTGTCATCGTGTGTGTGTGTGTGAGATTGACTGTGATGAAAGAGGAACAAGTTGGTTCCATTTAGGGTTTGTGATGACAACATCGAAGGAACGTGTTGTTTCCGACGACGAGGGAAGGGAGACCTGCGACGACGACGAAGTCGAGCACGCAAGATGAACTACCTACAACCCATTGCGATGACAAACCTCTCACTTTCCCTCACCCATTTGCAAAAACTCGTACCTCTATGACAACATTGCAAATCCTCTCACTTTCCCTCACTTGTTTGCACAAACTCGTACCTCCACGACAACATTACAAATCCTCTCACTTTCCCTCACCCATTTGCACAAACTTTCAATTGTTCAAACCCCTAAACACATCCGCGACCCTATTTTTTTCTTCCTACAATTTTGATGTGACGTGACAAATCTGCCACGTAACTATAACCAATCACCTAACCACATCAGAACTAATATTCCAAGACATATAATATAACAGAGTCAAAATATACATAACGATAGTTCAAAATTGACATCAATTTCAATATACATATCTAAATTAAAAAATTAAAAAATTTTGAAACCACATCGAAATATTTAAAAAAAGTAAAAGAACTAAATTACCTATTTAACCTATTTTTAAACTAAAATTATCAAATAATTATTCTTATAATTTAAAAAAAATAATTATCAAAACTACTTTTAAAAAAGAACAAGTTGAAATATTCAAGACTATCGTATTGAAATAGACAGCAAAAGTCTCCTAGCCTTAAAATCTTTGAAATAATTCTAGTGTAACGAGGAGTGTGTCCTTCAATTGTTTATCAAATGGCCTTATCTATATCTCTATCAATTCTTCATATAATACCTTTATCAAATGAAATGCAGTACATTAGAATTTGTTCTTTTTAAGCCCAAAACTCCTATCTATTATTGGTCTAAAAATAATATTATTTCTTTATTACATATTATATGTTTTCCTATCTCAATCCCCCACTATGGCTGCATGATTCTTGAGTATATAAATATGCATTATATCTACATATAGTCTGAGATGCCACAAACTCCAAAAATGGTCAATAAGCAAATTACAGGGAGCAGCATCCCCCCTTACATAATAAAAAATATATTCTACAGATATGGCTTGATGTTAGAAACATGAATAGGTTCATTTTGTAAATTCATCCATGAACTTGCTTCTTTGGGAGACGTTACTACTAGAAACAAACATGGGGAGGAATGAGCTTTCCTGGATTCATGATATTATTAGGATCTAGGACTGCTTTTATTTTTTTCATTGTCCTCAATGCTTCCACTCCGAGTTCTTCTTCAAGATACTGGACAAAGTAAACTCATGATTATAAAAATACCGAATAACATATATTTCATGAGTAACTAACATCACGTGTAGATCTTTAAAGAGCCAAAGATACTGGTGCCGTACCTTCATTTTTCCAGTGCCAACACCGTGCTCACCAGTACAAGTTCCTGTTTGGAATCGACATAAACCAATTTCAAAATCACAACTGTTTTACTTACAGTATGATTTTGAGAAGAAAAACACAGAATACTAAATACCACACTAACAGGCAACAGCATGAGTCAACAAGTTATTGACAATACCTTCTAATGACAAAGCAGCATGAACCATAAAATGGTTGAGTCTCTCCGCCTCCCGCCGCTCTTCTTCTTGGTTAGGATCAAATAGAATAACTGTGTGAAAATTACCATCTCCAGCATGTGCAATTACTGTGCTGGTAAGGGAAACGATACATACACGCATTGAGCATCAGTCTGTTAGATCATCCATCATCATCAGGTAACATGAATTCTGACCAATAGAATCTAACTCTGTATACAAAATCCAATAACCCTGATCAGACTTACCAAACTAGTGGTGATGCATCCAGCTCCTTTTTAGACCTTGAAATTAAATCAGCAAGGTGAGATAAAGGAACACATACATCCTGCAGGAGTTAAAATATCACCTCACCCACATAACAAAGAAAAAAAAAATCCTCAGAAAAACATAAATGCAATTGGAAGTCTAGAACAGTCGGAACTCTTCTCATATATATATATATATATATATATATATATATATATATATTTCTTTTTTAAGAAAGAATATATTTTAAGAATATATAAATGCAATTGGGCTAACATGAAGAATATATTTTAAGAAAGAAAATAAATTGTAGTCATTCTATTTCCCCATCTACAACGAGCACGTGCACTCTTAGATTCACATTGACTTGGTTTGATATTTATATCTTCAATTGAAATCAGAACAAAGTATATATATAGTTCATAGTATGAAATTCTTTAATGGCTTCCTATCAACTAAGCATGTAACTTAACAATGTAAAAAATAAATTAAAATTAAAATATATGATATTTCATTACTAACTCACTGAAATCATTGCCTCCAGATTAGGTTCCATTGCAAAGCAAGCCCAGAGTGCCTCTTTCCTTGCCTGTACAAGAACAGAGGATATTGACATGAATGACATAAATGTACAAGTAAATAGCAATACTAACTAATTAATAATGAGGTCATTAAAACATGTCTCAGTGAATAAGACAGTATAAATTATGAATCAGGTTGGGAACAGAGTAACTAAGAAAGATGCCATACAGAAACTAGGTTTGCCAAATATGTATGGAGGTTGCGGGGCATGAAAACAATATCAATAAATCAACATTTGCACAAACTTTAGGTTCTGGGAATGGGGGTAAAGGAATAAACTACTACCTTCCAAAGTTCGTTTTTTGCTTCAGGTTCTTCTGCAAATACAAAATCTGAGCCATTGTGCTCAGAAACAAGTTTCCGAACAATTTGTGTTTGCTCTCGTGCATATGCCTCTGAAGAATATATGCACCTACCAAGTTAGGTACTACATTTATGAAAGTGTGGAGTATTCAATTTAAAAGACACTGCATTATTGTTAATGTGAATACTGTATTTGGCTTATTCCATAACTTTTGACTTTTTTCTCTTTCATACTATGTCATAACTAGTATATTAAATCATGCTACAAGATTTCTTTCTTTCCCTCATTCTTTCTCTGCACATTTTGTCCTTGATATATTACAATAAGCCAATAATTGTGGAAGAACCCAAGGCCATATGAATCTCACATTGGAATCCCATACTTCCAATGTGGGAGTAAAATCTCATACTTCGCAATTGCATCCTAACACTACCAAATCGTCCAAGAAAATTCTGAATTTCTCATACATTAAGAATGTGATTTGAAATACCATGAATTTGATCTATGATATTTTAATATATCCAGATGATATATTTTATGTAAGCAACAATTTGAAGTTACTCTCATAAAGAATATGAAAGGACTAACCTGTTCCTATAAATTCAAACATTAAGGTTGGATATTCAGGCAAATTTTTCCCATTAGCAATATTGATAGCTTTCACTTGGACTTCATCCAATAGCTCTACCCTTGACACCTAAACCACATAAACAGAAATGCATAATTTGACAGAAAAAATATTGAGATTTCAATCCAGAGCCATACCTGTATACCAGACATCATGGTGGCAATAGCAACATCTGCCGCATCCTTCACAGAACGGAAATTGCACATTGCAACCTGTGCATTTCGATTAGTCAAATAATTCATAACATTCCAAATAACTACACATAGCAACAAATCAGAATGTATTTTTGCAGAATAAAGCATGCAAAAGTTATGCAGAAAAATATCCCACCATATACCACTTAAATAAAGTCACCGACAATGAAAATAAATAATCATGGTTAAAAATAAACTGACTTTATCCTTTTATGCCTCTACTGAAAGTGATACTAGCAAAGATCTCAGTGATTTGATGAAGTCAAAGATAAAGTCAAAGGTCAACTCTGCAACAGTCAAACAAGTCACTCAGAAGAATGGAGCTGAAGACTTAGTGTGTCTTAACAGAAAGCTTAGGTAAAACCACTTTACCTTTTCCACTGCATAAAGCTTCTTCATTCATTTTGCAAAATGCCTCAAAAATAGTTTTAAACAAATCAAAAACAAAAGCATTTTGACAAAGAACTTTCTTAATAATGTTTTTAACTGATATTGCTTTGAAAGAAACGATTAAAATCACTTAGAATGTTTAAAGAAGTGTTTTTACAGTATTTTAATCGATACAAACTTCTTTTAATCGATTAAAACCCATTAAAACCCTTTATGACCGATTAGAATTCGAATATGACAGGTCAGAATGATATATAATCGATCAGACGTTAAAAATGAGCGATCAGATTTATTTTAATCGATTAAAACACGTTTTAATCGATTAAAACCACTTTGGAAGTCAGGATGATCGATCAGAATGAAATTATGACCGATCAGAGTTGGTTATGATCGATCAGAATTGAGTTATGACCGATCAGACTTATTTCAATCGATTAAAACGAATTTCAATCGATTAAAATGACTTGAAAATATATGTGCAGTTTTTCAATCGATTAAAACGACTTTATATCAGCTAAAATAAACTTGGAAAGTTTTATAAGAAGGTTTTTAAACAAATCAATCGATTAATACGCGATTCAATCGATTGTTTTATACTTAGAAAATGTTTGTAAAACGTTTTAACTGATAAAAACGTGGTCGTATCAACTAAAACATTTTCTGTTAAAGATCAAGAATGCATTAATAGGTTGAAAGGACTTTTAACAGATTGTAACGACTATTTCAACAGATTAAAACAAACTTTCAACAGATTAATTAATGCGATAGATTTGAAAATACTCTTTTATAAACGAAATTGCTTGGAACTTTTAACATATCAGATTTGACACAATTCAAGCAATCAATACAAACAACTATTAGCATTTTTCAAGAAAGATACACAACTGTTTTTGTGAACTTCTTTTGAAATCTTTCTTGAGGCACTTTGCATTTCTTTGAAGAAGAAACTGATCGTGGATTGGTGTAATCCGGTTTGAGCTTTCTTTGTTTCTTCTTTTAAATTTCTATTCATTCATTTGTACTCGTTTTGTACCTGGAATTTGGGTACAAGTATTCTGCAATTGTTGTAGAAAGTTGCCAAGAACTCGGAATTTGGTTCTTGGTGGAAAGGTTAAAGCAAGAGCTGGAATTTGGTTCTTGTGTGTGGTGCCTGGAATTTGGGCACTCGGTTTCTCTGCTAGCTGGAATTTTGTTACGAGAGGTTTCCAAGAGCTGGAATTTGGTTCTTGGTGGAGAGTTAGAATAGGTGTAAGAGTGTGAGTCTCAGAAACATCTATTCTAGTGGAACCCACTGGAATTTGGTCGGAGACTGGACGTAGCCCTGGTATTGGGTGAACCAAGTATAAAATTACCGGTGAAATCTTTCCTAACCTTTCTCTCTTTAATTTCGATTCTTTGCGCTTGTATTGTTTAATTGCTTTGTGATTCATGAATTGATTAATAAACTTAATTTTCGAATTAGATAATCTGTTTATTGCGAAAAACTTTCAAAAATCAATTCACCCCCTCTTGATTTAAAACTACTTTTCTAACAATTGGCATCGGAGCGAGGTGCTTGAAAGTTAATCAAGTTACTTCGATCCATGGCATTTTCTCGAGGGAGCGTGCATTGATAGACCTCCACCGTTAAGTGGAACAGATTACCTATATTGGAAAATAAGGATGAAAATCTTCATTGAATCTGTTAGTATAAATGCTTGGAATGTTATTGAACAGGAAATTGATATTGCTAACGTGAATCCAAGATGATTGTATTGCCAAGAACATCATCTTATCCGCCCTTAACAAAAATGATCTTTTCAGGATTGCACATTGCCAAACAATTGCACAAATGTGGAAGATTCTTGAAAAGACCTATGAAGAAGCACCAGAAATATGCTTGATGGTCAACTCGTAATCACCAAATACCGAGTGTAAGTTCGAATCTATGAACTATAGCTCATTACAAGATGCTTTTCTTGAAATACATGCAGTAGCAAAGAAATTAGAAACTCGAAAATAGAAAATTGAAAAGCATGAATAGGCTTTTAGAAAACAAGATCATTCTTCTTGAAAAGAAAATAACTGATGAAGAAACTAAGTTAGAATTAGAGAATGATACTGATTGCATGTGTAATATTAAAGATTGCAAAAATTGTCCTGAGTTACGAAACAAGTATCATATCTAGTAAAAACCTCATCTAAATTGGCACAAGGAAAAAATAATCTTGATAAGATACTTAATTCCCAAAAATTAGTTATTGAACGTGGTGGCATAGGTTATACACCATCTGTTGGAAAGAAAACAAGAGCTTTCAAAAATTATTTTGCATATAGTAAAACAGTTTCATCTCCATTTATTAAATGCTTTTACTGTATGAAAATGGGTCACTCTGTTAAATATTGCAGAATTAAGAAATATGTTGTACCTAAAGGTAGAATGAAATGGGTTCCAAAGATTAATTCTTTCCAAATAACCTGATCAGGACCCGGTAATTATAAAGGGTACCAGAACAATTCTTAATTTGTTTTGCGAGAACAAGTCCGGGAATCCCTTGAAGATCAGAGCTGTAAATCAGGTTCGAGTATTTAAACTAATTGTTTTAATTGATATATAACAATATTAATCGATTAAAATAACTTACACAACATCTGTCCGTACCATTTTAATCGATTAAAATGTCGAAATAATCGATTGAACTGATCTCAGGTTTTTGGTTTAAATGTTTTAATCGATTATAATATCTCGTATATCAACTAAAAACACTTAGGTATCAAAATTAATCGATTCATTCACGTTTTAATCGATTTAAATTCTGGTGTCATGGTATTGATTTCATTTTGTACTAAACTAATCGATTCTTTTATAAACCAATCGATTAACTCATTGTAACTCGTTTTCAAACCTGATAGGAAAAATGAAATTAATAGATAATTAGTTGATTAATCGATTAATTAGGTTCGAAAACAAGTTTTATAACATCTAATTAAAGGTTGATAGGCCAATTCGAATCAAAAACCCAGTTTCTTTGATAAACAAAATCTGCATAATACTTTCACCCACTGTCCCGTAAATTGTGCCTCTGTAGCGATCAGATAATCATAAATGAGTCTCGAACATATCCGATTCAAGTTATCCGTTTTACCCAATTTTCTTTAAATAGCACATGCCTGAACAAATCCTTGAATTAGAAACTAAGACTAGTGGAATAAATGTGGGAAAGTTATCCATAGATGAAAAAGCTATTTTAACATAGTCATGATTCAAGTCGTAGACGTCTACATCTCTCTTAATACTTTACATGGAATGCTTGCGTAGTAATACATTGAAAATCAAAGGAATTATCAAAGAATAGACTGTAACTTTTCTTATAGACACTAGTTACAAACAGGTCAAGTTGTTAGGATCGAAAACATAGTTTATCAGAGATTTTTCGAGTGTTAGTTGCTTCGGTAATAAATTATTGATTACTAGGAAGTTCAATGAACAAATGTTTACATTAGATTTCTTGATATTACCTAACAATATATGTGAAATAATTTTGGGCATGCATTGGTTCAAAACTCTTGGTGATATTCATTGGAACTGTGCAACTTTGAATATTTGCTTTAATCATCAATGTCACGAGGTGACACTATAAGGGAACCAATCTGGAACAAGAATTCAAAAATTGAATATCGTGGTACAGGGAATGTATGTTTTATGGTCAAGACAGGGATAAATTTTATATTGTTTTAGAATTCTGGATTGATTGTCATCACCTGTCCTCATTACTAATCATTGCCCACTCTACCGGAATAAGTTTTTTTGTTAATCACTTGTGCATATGATACCACTCGGAAACAACAAAGTTAAAAATGATTCATTCCTCAAAAGATAATGATGACTCGGTTCACTGAAAGTGAGAATAACACCCATCATACTACATTAATAAGAATGCAGTTATTTGCTTGGATGATGACAACTCGTAGGGTTCAAAATGGGTTGGCTATTATGAAAGAAAATTACTATCTCAAGACATCATTAACCTGTGATTCATGCAATTTATGGTATCATGCATTCGTGTGGGATTTGGTCAGGTACATGATTATGCCTCGGATGTGTAATAGTCGATGTTCCTAAAGAAACAATTAATTCCATTGAGTGTCAACCATGGACTATAATGCGATCAATAGTAACGATGAACTGCTAAAAGATTTCTTTTCGGGAAAAGTTTCGTGTTCATTGGCCGATACGAGGAGTGACAGCAGCTTGTTGACTCAAATAGTTGATAGAGCAAAATTGGTTCCAGCAAAAGGAAAGCCTATTATCTTTTGATATTGGTGGGGATCAAATAAATAATCACCAAGTCTGGTGGATAAGCAGTTCAATCGGGGAATTTGGGATGACTAGTTCCCCTCATCATCTTTATCTTCTCGCTTATTTCTATCTTTATATTTTTTGCATGGATCGTAATATTAACTGGTGTTATACCAGGGACTCTTGATCTAGCTTTGGTTAAACATGATTTAGGATCTAAATCTAGATTGAACGGCTTAGATAGAAGTAGATGATAGATCCTCGAATCTCTTTTAAAACTGGGCATTGATCGATTAAAACCTTTTAGAAGCTGTCTTATAACGATAAAATTAGCCAAATTTAAAATTAAATCGATAGTGGTAGATTATCGGTGAAAAATAGTTGATATTGATCTAGACAATCAGTTCACTACATATCCAATAGATTAGATACGAGATATTCACATCGGATATATCATGATTTTCAAAATCTGGTTGTTTTAGTCAATAAAAACACCTTTTAATCGGTTAAATAAACTTAAACAACAGTTTTCATTACTGTTTTAATCGATTTAAAGTCGAAATAATCGATTATTTTTACTAAAGTTTCATGTTTTCAAAATCTTAAATGTTTTAATCGATTAAACTTTTCTTTCAATCGATTAAAATCATTTACCAAGAACATTTTAACCGATTATGCTCTATTTTTAATCGATTTTTATTCGGGAAGAAAGATTAAAGGCTTTAGTTAATGGTTGTTTCTGTAAACATGTTACTAAAGCGTGATTCCCTTATCTTTACACGTGTTAATTGTATTCATTACAAACGTGTTAATGAAGATAAGTTTGAATCAACTTTAATTGATTATTTTCATGAGTGAAATATTGATTCACTTTTTATTTTCAAAAACTTGAGCACATTTCAAATCTTACATTTTTTATTTCTCTCTTCTATTCCCTATTTTTGATGAAGTCAAAAGGGGGAGAAATAGTTGCATCACTTTAAGATAAATTTAAGAGCAACAGTTTAGGGGGAGAAATAAGTTTTAGGGGGAGAAATAAAACATTATTACATTTTTATATTTCTCACCTAACTGCATTATCAAGTGACTTATTTTGCAGAGATTGTTTTTTCAAAATGGTGTTTGTCTTCATCAAATAGGGGGAGACTGAAAGTGATACTAGCAAAGATCTCAGTGATTTGATGAAGTCAAAGATAAAGTCAAAGGTCAACTCTGCAACAGTCAAACAAGTCACTCAGAAGAATGGAGCTGAAGACTTAGTGTGTCTTAACAGAAAGCTTAGGTAAAACCACTTTACCTTTTCCACTGCATAAAGCTTCTTCATTCATTTTACAAAATGCCTCAAAAATAGTTTTAAACAAATAAAAAACAAAAGCATTTTGACAAAGAACTTTCTTAATAATGTTTTTTTAACTGATATTGCTTTGAAAGAAACGATTAAAATCACTTAGAATGTTTAAAGAAGTGTTTTTACAGTATTTTAATCGATACAAACTTCTTTTAATCGATTAAAACCCATTAAAACCCTTTATGACCGATTAGAATTCGAATATGACAGGTCAGAATGATATATAATCGATCAGACGTTAAAAATGAGCGATCAGATTTATTTTAATCGATTAAAACACGTTTTAATCGATTAAAACCACTTTGAAAGTCAGGATGATTGATCAGAATGAAATTATGACCGATCAGAGTTGGTTATGATCGATCAGAATTGAGTTATGACCGATCAGACTTATTTCAATCGATTAAAACGAATTTCAATCGATTAAAATGACTTGAAAATATATGTGCAGTTTTTCAATCGATTAAAACGACTTTATATCAGCCTAAAATAAACTTGGAAAGTTTTATAAGAAGGTTTTTAAACAAATCAATCGATTAATACGCGATTCAATCGATTGTTTTATACTTAGAAAATGTTTGTAAAACGTTTTAACTGATAAAAACGTGGTCAGTATCAACTAAAACATTTTCTCGTTAAAGATCAAGAATGCATTAATGGGTTGAAAGGACTTTTAACAGATTGTAACGGCTATTTCAACAGATTAAAACAAACTTTCAACAGATTAATTAATGCAGCAGATTTGAAAATACTCTTTTATAAACAGAATTGCTTGGAACTTTTAACATATCAGATTTGACACAATTCAAGCAATCAATACAAACAACTATTAGCATTTTTCAAGAAAGATACACAACTGTTTTTGTGAACTTCTTTTGAAATCTTTCTTGAGGCACTTTGCATTTCTTTGAAGAAGAAACTGATCGTGGATTGGTGTAATCCGGTTTGAGCTTTCTTTGTTTCTTCTTTTAAATTTCTATTCATTCATTTGTACTTGTTTTGTACCTGGAATTTGGGTACAAGTTTTCTGCATATTGTTGTAGAAAGTTGCCAAGAACTGGAATTTGGTTCTTGGTGGAAAGGTTAAAGCAAGAGCTGGAATTTGGTTCTTGTGTGTGGTGCCTGGAATTTGGGCACTCTGGTTTCTCTGCATGCTGGAATTTGGTTGCGAGAGGTTTCCAAGAGCTGGAATTTGGTTCTTGGTGGAGAGTTAGAATAGGTGTAAGAGTGTGAGTCTCGTGAAACATCTATTCTAGTGGAACCCAACTGGAATTTGGTCGGAGACTCGGACGTAGCCCTGGTATTGGGTGAACCAGTATAAAATTACCGGTGAAATCTTTCCTAACCTTTCTCTCTTTAATTTCAGTTGCTGCGCTTGTATTGTTTAATTGCTTTGTGATTCATGAATTGATTAGTAAACTTAATTTTCGAATTAGATAATCTGTTTATTGCGAAAAACTTTCAAAAATCAATTCACCCCCCCTCTTGATTTAAAACTACTTTTCTAACATCTACTTGCCAATTCCAAAAATTTATGAAATACTAAGGGCATGTACCAGAAGATAATAAGTGAGAACATGGAAATTTATCTCATATTATGAGTGGATCAGCTGCTAAGTTTTCCCAAAAAGTCAAATTGATAAGGAAAAAAATGAACCCATAGAAACTTAATTTAGCAGAATAACAACATGAATAAGTTAAACATCAAAATAAATAGTTTGATTACTTTTATATAGCTTTAGGTCTTTGGAAAAGTGAATGTGTATTCTTTCAAGAGCTTGGAAATGACATGAAAATTGCAAGAGGAAGAAACACAACGAGGTGAAAAAGATATACAACAAGATGAACCTATAGTGGGGGGAGGGGGGAGACTTGTAAATATTGGATGCTACACTATTTTATGAAGAACTGCTGTTTGTAAATTTAAAACTTTCCAGGATAGAAACTAGAAACAAACAGCAACACTATCCAAATTTAGAACATACAACTTGCATTGGCATGTCAAGGATCAAACCAACAAAAAAAATTTAATGTATTTTAATTAAGTTAACTAAATAGATAACATACAAATTTAGTAAGTACATCACGGTAACAAAGTTCAATAGACCATATCAAACATGAGAAAGGGATAAAGTTAATCAATGTACCACTGAATACTGAGGAATTTTCTGAAGCCGTAGGGTTACTTCTGTTATAACACCAAGTGTTCCTTCACTTCCAATCATCAAGCGGGTCAAATCATACCTAGTATATATAGTTTAAAGAAAAAAATTCAGTAGCTTAGCTTGTAATTACATATCAGTCCATAGAGGGATTAATATGTTCATTTATATTGAAATCTTATATCGACTAGAAATAAAACTCATGTAGTCATTATAATAAGCCTTGGATATTCTTAACCTTACAAGCTGATTTAAGAGATTAAGTTAAACCTTAAACCCAAATTATAAGAGTTGATGCAGTTATAAAATTTTGGACATTGGATGGTATAAGTGAATATTTTTCAATGCAATAGGTTTGTATCAAGGTTTGACATTTAACTGTATATGGATTTTCTCATTCCTAGTTAACAAATTTGCTAATAAGCATATTCAAGATGAAGTAGAGAAGTGTTTTGGTTAATATATTGAATTGTAGATAGAATTTACCAAATATTTTTATCTTCGTAGTTCAAGATGAAGTGTCTTGGTGGATTTACTAATGACATCATTTGAAGGATGGGTGCTAGAGTTGGAGTTGCAGGGAAATGGTTTCAAGACCAAGGTTTTTGATTGAGTAAATCAGGCAAAATTTATTGATTTCATATGTTCAGCCAGCAAAGGAGGGCGAATGATAACTGGGGATGAATAATGAAAGCTTCAAATACTAGAAAAGACATCCTAATCAATGGAGGGATAGTTAAGGATATCAAACATCATATCCAAGAAGGATAAATGAAGTAAATAAGTGTCTTGGTCAATTTATTGTAGTGTAGATAGAATTTACCAAATATTTTTATCTTCTTCAATTATAAAAAACACCCAAAAGGGGGGAAATTATAAGTGAAATGAATTAATAGCTAAAGGGAACTAAATAAAACAAACCCTGCAGCACTCTTCCTGGCACGTGATGCAGTCTTCACAACGTCTCCATTGGCAAGGACCACCTGGAATAAACATAGTACAATAAATACAGCATAACATCAATGTATTAGGGACAAAAAATTGGGATTAGCAAACCTTGAGACTGATGACATTGTCACGCATAGTTCCATACCTACAAATTTTTAAAGGGAACCCATTTCGCTCAGTAAGATGGAAGACTTTTTATAGTTTTTTTACAAGGTTTTCATAAGATCGGGACATGTTGAATGACAGAATTACATCAACATTAAGCCTCAAGTAAAATACCTTCAAACCAAATACTTGACCTTACAAGCAAATGGTTTGGCACCCACCAAGATGAAACAATCAAATCAGCATGTATCAGAGTCTGCCAACAACAAATGAAAATATACACATCAGAGTGACTACCTCACAGCTAACGAACCAGAGCAACGTGTAGCACACATGCCTCCAATGCTGGCACCAGGACCTGCTTGTAACAAGTAAAAGTTTAACTTCAAATTTAAGCCTCTTTAACCTTCAACTATCAGATATATTCACAGGTCATAATCAACTAACCTGGATCAAGTGGAAAAAATAGTCCATAAGGTTCCAAATACTCATTAAGCTCCATCCATCCAATGCCAGGCTCAACAACAACATCCATGTCATCAACATGTAATGCTTTCACTCTCTATAGATTATAACAACAAAAGTAAAGTTCACTTATTTACATCCAATCAGTGCCTACATGCACACATGATCTATATTCTGTATTCTGCATGTGTAAATGCATAATTGAGTGTATTGTCTACATAATGGTACTGTTGGGATATAAGTGGAAGGAGAAGTTAGTTAGATAGTTAGCATATTAATGAGTTAGTTGCTTGAGGTGTTATTTAGATATAAATAGGATAGGAAGAATAAGAGAAGGGGAATTAATATTTTTGTAAATTGCGCATTAGCTCTTTGTAAAAGGAGAAATCCTTTATAAAGGGAAAATCATTGGAGGAGAGTGCACCACTATTTCCTGTTCTTTTCATTCTATTCAATAAAGAAATTTTCTTTCTTTTTCTGTTTAATTCTTGGTTTTTAACAAATTGGTTCGACCTGTCGGATCCTTGAGGAAGAGCCAGTGTTAGAGATGGAGGACACATAAATTTTGTCCATGGGTAAGCTACCAACATTTGTAGGGGCAAATCCAATTGGTTGGATTGCTAGGGCTGAAAAATTCTTTGAGATACATGAAATTGATTCTTTTAATAAGCTGCAACATGCATTCATGAGCATGGAGGGTGTGACAATGCGTTGGTTCTATTATTGGTGCTAAGATAACTCGGATTTAGATTGGGAATCATTTTCAACAACTTTGATAATAAGATTCAAAGATACCTATGGTAGCAACATCTTTGAAAGATTGACTACCTTGAAGCAAGAAGAGCAAACCGAGATTAAAACATGCAGGAAAATAAGAGACTTCCACAGTGTTCTTGAAAGTGAATGAAGAGGGTAATCCACATTTGATTGAGCAAAAAAAAAAATAGCATGGAGGGAAGTGGGACAAAATGCATTGCGGATGAGGCTAGTTCTTAAGGTGGAATTATCCACATTTGATGGAAGCATAAAAGAGGAAACTCATTCAAAGAGTGGCAGATTTGAGTGTGGTGATCCATTGAAATTCTTGAAATCAGAAAATAGAAGTAAAAACAAGGCTTAGAAATCAAGAATCACACCCTTTGTAGTGGAGAAGAAACCAAAAATGAAAAGAAATTAGCAAGAGAAGCAAAGATTAGGATGGAGGAAGATGTTGATGCATCCATAAAGAATGTGAAGACTGGGCCTGTCAAGATCAGTTTCTTGACAACAAAATCATAGAGTAAATTGAAAAGGAAGTTGAAGGTGGAGATATAACCAAACATTATTATTTTCCAAATTCAGATTTCCATATTAAGAAAATCATTGTTAGACTCAGATTTGATAGTGAAGTTGGTTGGAACATCAATGGGATTAGAATCTTGGATTTTGAATTTTTTGGGTGATCCTTAAACATTAAACTTCATTGCCTTCATGGATCACATCTTGGCAATGGAATCAATGCAAAAGGAAGGTTCAAAGGTTGTTATAGAAAATCCACTCTCATCCCCACCACCACCCAAGCCATCAGATCTAAATTTGAATATAATAGTCACTAATTCTCATTTCTATAGCAGAAAATCATCACATGCTTTCAGGAAGGGAAAATGAAGATCATGGTAATGAGGATGAATGATGGGGTCAAGCTTCCACTATTACAACATTGAAGACAAGGTTGATTTTTAGAATGGGTGTATTGTTCGAGTATAAGGGGAAGGAGAAGTTAGTAAGATAGTTAGCATATTAATGAGTTAGTTGTTTGAGGTGTTATTTAGATATAAATAGAGTAAGAAAAAGGGACTAGGATGAATAGTGAAGTACGCTAATCCAAAACATAAAAAATTGAAAAATATTAAACAAGAACAGGCCAATGAAGGGAACAAGAACAGGAGGGAACAAGAACCAAAAGATAAAGAGAAGGGAATGAAAGGTGAAAAACTCAGTTGTGGCGATTTGCAAAACTACAAACGGAGAAGAATGATGACTACAAACGGTGACGAATGCATGGCGACTGCAAACGGTGATGAACATGTGACAACTACGATTGTGATCTACAAATGGGGTGGTGGTTGCAGCTGCGAAATGTGAACAGGGTGACGATTGTGAACACAAACTGCAAATAGTGGCGATTGAGAACGAGGTTGTTTGGTCCAAAATTGCGAATAACGACTTGTGCATCGAGGATAAACCAAGATGTGACACTTAACGGTGGGAAAGACGAATTGTGGCTTCGTGCAAACTGACCGAACAACTTAGGTAAGTATAGTTTTGGTAGAGGTGTCAACATGGGTTGCAACCCGTAAACCAACCTAGCTCACCACGGTTGGGTTTGATTTTTTTTCATTTCTACCAATAATGTATTAAAAATGAATCCAACTCACGGGTTAAGTGAGTTTGAGTCGGGTTATGGTGGGTTGGTCCACAACCCACCATTCCTTATAAATTTTAAAAATAATTATAATAATCTGGTAACCCTAATTAATATTATCCTATCTCTCCCCCTCTACTCCATGCTGCTGCAAATTAAACCCTCACTTAAGTTTATCATCAATTATTCGCTGCACCAATGCGTTCACCGCTGCACCTGCACCCCTTGCCATCCGGACCACTACACCATCGTGTCCATTACATTTGTTGCACTTCAATCTCATATTTCAGTAGCACTGCACCACTGCATTTGTCACATCACCACGCCACCGTGATTCAGTTGATTCACAACGTTTGTTGCGTTTCAGTTGTCACAGTTTTTGTCTTGTCTCTGCGCCATTGCGTTTCAGTTGTGAATTAAAAAAAAAAATTTGAAGAACAAAAACATAAATATGGGTTTGAGTCAACTCACCAAACCGTAGTGGGTTCAACCGGGTTGTGAAAATTTTGGCTCGCCATAAAGTAAGTCGGGTTGAGCTCACCTACTTTCAGCTCAACCCGTGGTGAGCCAACTCGTGTGAGCCAGGTTGACTTACTTTGACACCCTTACGTTTTGGGCTTTCATCTCACTTGTTCATTCACCTCAAACTCGCAAGTTTGCATCAAGTCTATCGAATTTGCCCAAAAAACAAGTTTATTTACGAGTCAACTCATGACCCTAAAGAAAATTCTTAAACTTGGAAGAGTTTACAAGTTAACCCTAGAGTTTGATAACCATGATCCTTTGTGAAGGGGAAGTCCTTGGAGGAGAGTGCACTCCTATTTCTTGTTCTTTTCATTCTATTCAATAAAGAAACTTTCTTTTCTTTTTCTGTTTAATTATTGGTTCCTATACACACACTATAAACAAAATTACTCCAATGATACTACAATAATCATCAACAATATCCATTTGCTTGCCAACTCTAATAGAAACTTCTGGACTCCATATTCAATTAACTATAGTAAGAAATCTGTTGAACAGAATGGCTTTAGAATTTTGTGATGGTGATACTAAAAGTTTTCATAATTTGCAATGACAATTAAAAAATAGTGCACGGATATGTATTCATAAAAAACCCTATAGCATTCTACAAAGTAATGCTCAATGCAAATTACAGTTCAGCACAACATTACAATTATATATTCCATGGGTTTACAAATATAATTCCTAAATATTATGCAAAAGAAAGCATAAAAAAATAACAGTTGAAAATTTGTTAAAAATCATATTGTTAAGAATAAAAAATCCCAGAGCTCTCTCTCTCTCTCTCTCTCTCTCTCTCTCTCTCTCTATATATATATATATATATATATATATATATATATATATATATATAGGCTTGATTAAGCTCTCTAAAATACATTTTTCCTTTTTTATTTATCTCAAGTCATATGAATGGTTTTCCATTGCATCAAAGACTATTGACATGGCAAGGAGAAGATATTTAGGCCACAAAGAAAAGTTATAAAACCTCTAAAAGCTCTCAACTCTGCCTTAAGACAAGCAAACTAAGAATACATATCACAGATCAATTTAATACCAGCCTTAAAATTTATTTCAGAGGGGGAAAAATCCTTTTCAGAACTAAATAGAGGTGTGTGTAAAATTGCTTCCTTGTTAGCAGATTGAAGCCAACTCCACAGGCTGGTATTGTAATGCACTTCCCACAAACAAACTCATCATCTTTGTGTTTTGCCTTAAGCAGAGTGGGTGGTTAAGCGCTTACAGTTTAGCATCAGAAAAATGCTAATTCCGACAAAGGACATCTTATTTATAGGTAGGAGTATAACTTTGCATGAAGGTTGAGAATGAAAGGAAGAGTAATATTTCATCCAGAAACACAATGAAGACCAAAAAGGGAACAGAGAAACGGAAAACCATGGTCAACACCCATGCCAAGCCGATAGAGGCATCTTAAACTTTCTACAAGTCTATTGTGCCTGATGGAATCTCAAACATATTAAAGACAAGTTGCGCTCAGAAACCGTACAGCAGACATGGGGCAAAATAGGCCATACAGGAGTTTCCCCATATTCCATTAGAATCAAATATATATTTCATAATTCATAATAACAATATACTGGAAACAATTATATGCAGATATTATAATATCATAATTGAACATTTACATACTTTCATTAATGACATGTCAATGCAAACCCCTCCATGAGGGGATAAGGTGTGACCCTCAATTGATGTAGCTCCACCATATGGTACAATAGGAACCTGTTATCAAACGCTTTTTTAAATAAAACATTTAAAAAAAAAAAATATAGTTATCAATTTCTCTAGATCAAATCATTATTTATAATAAATTTTATTGGTCAAAAGGCACTATATTAAAATGTCATATAACTGCTTGATTTAAAATTTAAATTGTTAGGTAGTGGTCGGCATGGATTTTTTGACAATATAATGTAAGTGCAAATTATATGTCTAGTACAAGTAAATCAAAAGAAGTGATAAATAGTACAGACATTGTGCAGATTGATACTCAAAGGTCAGCTACAAATAAGTCAGAATAACCATCTTGATGAATAAGTTGAATGGCTAAAAAAAATGTTATACTTTCTTGTGATTATTGGCTGAACAAGTTCCTATGAGACCCATTATGCCTTAGAAAAATTGCTGGGTCATGATAAAATGTTTCTGTTGGGTCATCCATTGATCCAAATGGCTTTATAATAAAATGTTAAGGTAAAGAAATCAACTACAACATGCTACACGATGCTTGCTGAGTTAGAAGAGCTCAAACCTTATGACTGTTACATAATTTGACAATCTTAGAAACCTCCTCTTCAGATCTGCAAATAAGAGTACAATGTAAGAAAATAAATACATGCAAGAAATGTAACCACAATATTTAAAAACTTCTCCTACTCTCTCTTGTTCATCCATGTCCAAGTATTAACTATTTAAAAATATAAGAAGTCTTTTTGATATACTGTTATTGTATGTAAAAAATGATAGACAAGGTATACAAATATTTTGAAATCAAGAATATGACACATCAGAAAGTCATACATCTCACATGCATTTCCGATCCAGCATGATTAAGATTCTGGATATTCCAATGCACATAACAAATGTCATGGAATCTCTTGATAAAATGAGATATTAGACATAAAAGCACTAAACACATGTAAATAAAAATATATAGTTGTACAAGGGTTCAGAGACCTGATGGAAATGAGCCAATTTACCAATCTGCAAATATCCAGATTGACCAATGTTATGTAGAAAATTATTTTAATACGGAAATTAACCCTGTTATATCATAACTATCTGTTTTCAAACATTATTCAGGTCAAATATAGAAAAAAAAAAAAAACACGTGTTCAAAGGTTTTCAAGGTCCAAGGTCTTTCACAATGAAAATTAAAAAAAAAAAAAAAAAACACTGCAATAGAAACTTCCAAGGTCTTTCCCAATGAAAGTACCAAACTGTGGTTGATTTAAAATTTAAAAGAATAACACAATCACTGCAACATTGCAAGAACTATGATCAGATGAACGAGGAAGTAAACAGATATTCAGCCAAAGCTTCAGTTCAGAGTATGTCTCACCTCGGATAAACAATCACATCTGGGATATTAACAGCCTTGTGGAAGCTGTTTTGTGGTTTTCCATGGATATATCTTTCGTCATAATCAACTGATATGTTATCCTGCAGGAATGAAACATAATAGCAATTCAGGCAGACAATCACAAGGTAGAAGTTTCAAAACAATTGCTCATTTAGTTTGACTTCATTCTGATCATACTAAAAGTATTGGTGAACACTAACAACCAACCAATGAAAAATCAAAACTGGCCTGCCTTTCAAAACACATACCAAATTTCACAAATTAGATTTTCAGTTGTAACTAATCCACTAGACAGCAAATAGGAAGAACTAAAAGAAACTTTCGAACATAATTGATGATCAAATTAGAATCAGCCAAAGGATTTGAAAGTCTTTCTTTGCTCTATATAAATTTACAAGATATTCAGATAAGCCAACATTATGTTATACCTGACAGATGATTTTCAACTCCTCAAGAAGCTCCCGCGGAAATTCCCTCTGCGATCCCTTAACAACGTATTGCGTGCTACCTTTGCCCCCAACATTCACACCTCTAACATCCATTACAAGAAATCAATGTCCGTGATCAAACAATTACATGATTCATCGAGACTATTCAGATATACTCGTAGTTCAAGTGAAACATCAAGCTCTGTGTCACAACTAATTTCTCTCTAAACAATTAAAAAAACATAACTGCACTAATCAGTTCATGAATGCTTAGAAGTTCCTAGTAATATATCCTTGAAAGAAAACCTATGGCCATAACTCTATAGTCTCGTAACGAAACACGAGACCAAGCACCTATAATATCATATCACTAAATCGACTTAGGTTTTCACATTCAGGACGAACGAGATATAGTCGATGAATTCAAATTGAGGCATAAAAAATTTGGAAAAAGAAGACCTGTCAGTGTCGCAGAAGGAAGGACTGAAGTGTGGATGAAGAGCGAGTGATCCAGCGGAAAGAGCGAGAGCGAGAGGAAGCAGAGACGTTGAGCGTGCATCCCTGGTAGAGTGGTTGTGGAAGACGGTGGGCGCGTATTTATTGTGGAGAGTGCGGTAGCGGTAGAACAACTTGGAGGAAGAAGAACGTAAGCGAGAGAACCATGACGAGAAACTTGACATGCTGATGAATGGTGGTAACTAGAAAGGCTAAGATGAGGGTAGCTCTAACTTTTTTTCCGGAACTATCACCTCTAAATTTTTTGCTACATTGGGCCTCGTGTCTTGATAGGATCTATGCTTTTGGTCCTACTTCTAAAGGCGTGTAACTACGATTTATTTACTTTTATTTCAATTTACAAATAACTGCTCCCGTTTAAATGTAATTAAAACAATGAATCAAATTAAAAGTTATGTTACTGATATTAATCCTAGAATCAAATATATTTTTGCAAATGTAATTTTCGTTAAATTTAGCTTTGATTTGTATTTTAAAATTATTCAGAATGAAATATTAAACAAAACTATAAAGAAAAAACATATATTTTCCCTTGAATATAATATTCAACATCAGAACTTTAATAATACAAATGTGTCTTTCAAATTTTAAAAAAATTAATAAATAATTTCAAATAAACTAATTTTAATTAACTCTTTAGAAGTTAAATTGTGACACATTGTAAAGCGGAAATATTTAAATAGGTATGTAGTCCTTCAATTTAGTCTTTTAAAAATCCAAAAAATTAATCCTTCAAAATATATAATAACTTTTTTTAGTCCTTCAAGAAAATAAATAGAAATTAATCATTCAAAAATTCGCATTTAAATTCATTAAACTAATTAGATTCCATTAAAGAAGTAAACACAACCTAACTAAAAAAACATTTTTCCACACTCTCTTTATCCAACCAACTCTATTAAATAGAGAAAACAAACTTGTAATTTTTTTTCGTTAACATTAAAATTTAATAAGAATTTATAGAAAAAATAACATGTCCTTCGTTTGTCAAGTAAAAATTAATACTTGGACAAAATAAATAAACACCTTTTTTTTAACTAATTTCTGCATATTATTTTATACAGGAGTAAAATATAATCAGACGATGAAGCCAATAATTTTTTCCCACCGGAAGAAAAAGGTTGTGTCAAATTAAATCTCCACCGAAAAAAGATTAATTAGGAATCGTGTCTCCTTTCTGATTCTTTGACCGAAAGAATTTTCTTTTGAAGGATAGATAATGTTTCTTATCGTTGCGTAACTAGTTTTTCTACACAATTTTAAACATGGAATGGTAAAAGCTATTACGGAATAGCTTTGTGGTGAACGTGGAAATTTGAAGTTTTTTTCAACTTGACACAAAACCGAATAGAACAAGAATCCAATTCTAATGGATTTTCAAATGTCGTAATTAAAGTTCTAAGATTCCATTTCAATTCTAAATAAACTAATAATCCAAACACTAAAAGCATCTCCATTTCTCTAAGAAACGCTGACATGAAATTTCAAGTTAAAATACAATAAAAATGCATTTAGATAGAATGGACACTATTTTTTAAAAATATAGATAAATTTTAATATAGTCCTAAAATTTAAATAAATTAGAATAAAACCTTTAAAAATAATGGTCATCTTTATTTATCTTTTATTTAAAATAAGTCCCTACAAATAATTTAATCTTTGTATATTATCATTAAAATATAATTTACTATGTTCATAATAATATGTAAAAAATTATTTAAATCGAAGATCTAAAAACATTTTATTAATTTATTAATATATATAAGGACTAACAAGAAAAAAATATACTTTTAAAATGACTACAAAAATAGTTCAGCCTAACATTTATTTGATAACTTCCTTTGAAATGAAAACAATGACTATCAATTAGACTGTCACAGGCTCTGCCATAATGCCATAGTTTTTTTTTAAGTGACAGTGAGGATGCCACTTTGTTTTTATTTACTATTTCCCTCTTGATGCTATTTGCTAAGGTCTTATTATGAACTAAATAAATAAATCCTGCCTCACCTACAAAAGTTCAGTCAAGGGCAAAGAGGAGTCAAAGTCATGTAATCCTTCTAGGGATTTCTATTTGTTAACAGTACTCTACTCAGATGTTTCCATTGCTTTACAAAAGCCTACAGCAATCCAACTGCATATGTGGACTGTGAATTCCAGTATTCCTTGGATTGCTTCAATGTATCAACTCTTTCACTAGCTAGCCTCTCTCTCCAGTAATCTTTGCACCTGCCAAAAGAATCTTGAAAATTAATGTGATGCCATTGATTCACATAAGAATAAGAAAGATAATGTTATCATGTAACACCTTCTTTTCATAAGTAGATCAAGTTCTAGCATGCGCACAGCCTTAGAATAAACTCCAACCTGCATTAAGCAGAGCATTTGTCTTTTTGAAATCAAGTTTTTATGATTGAAAATTTAAAACATAAAAGCAAATCAGAAAATGCTTTAAAGCTCCAAAGAAGAGAATCAATGACATAATCACTATACTTTAGTCATAAGGAACCCATGGCATTTTGCATTAGGGGAAAATATGGTAATATTCAATGTTTTGAGAAGACAACGAATAGAATTTTCTGGATCAATGTTATCTTATAGAGATATACACTTGTAAGTGAAGATAATTTAGAGTTTGAAAAACAAATTAATGACAGTGATTTAGAAAAGGAAAGCAAGGTCCATAAAGAGCCTTCACCAAACTGACCCCTATAGACATAATTGCATCATTGACTTCTATGCTGGCTTTAAATTTTAACAAGGTGTTAACTATCAAGAGTATTATTTTATTTTTATCTGATATGTCAATGCTGAGTACAAAACACACACCTCTCTGCATATAGGACACTTGGACTCTGGACTAGCAGCTTTGAGTCCTTGAAAAATCATCACAGAGGCAGCTGAGCAAGCACATGACTTGCAGAAGATATGACCACAGCTCAAAGCATAAGGGTTGAAAACAAAATCCTATCATATCACAATCCAAGCATTTATAAGAGATGATATCCATGTATAATATCTTTCTCTTTTCTTCTAGAGCAGCAAACAATTAGGAACTTACCAGGCAAATTGCACAAGTTAGATTATACTCAAGCTTGATAGAATCGGGAAGAATCAATGTCAATACATCTTTATTTATGTTTAGATCACACGAAAAGCGACCATAGACTCCATCAAGCTCACAACTATCTTGTCCACTAGAATTCAGATAAAAAGCACCCAATTCAATTATCCAAGGAGAGTGCAAAAGTTCAATGTGTTCAGCGTGCATCCTAGATTTGAAGTTCTCCCCATTCACAGAGCTGTGTACCTGAAACAAAATAGAAAAGGACGGAATGAATCCAAACACTAAGCCAGAGAAGTATAAATGAAAAAGAGTTAACATTAGGCAATCGTTGTTGCATACTTTATCATATTTCTTAAGTATCTTCCTCATTGCAATAGCATTCATTGCAATGTACTCAATTAGAATCCTCCCTTCTTGATTAAGGGTTTGCCTATCACTTTTAAAGCACTCGCGCAAACGCAATACATATCTATGCAGTCCTGTTGAAATGTGAAGATGAAGGAGATGCTTAACTCTTGAACTAAAGTATCCTACCACATCTGACGCTTCCTTCATCAACTCAGAGAAGAACTTTTGATCACATACTACAATGTGGAAAAGAAAAAAGAAAATTAGACAGCAGAAACTTACTTTAGTTAAATTACAAGACACATACATCATAATATTTCAAAAATCTTTTGATTATATCATGCTATAAATCTAGTTCCAAGTAACCTAAGTTCTGATCAATTGCAAAGAATATTCAAAGACATTAGAGGAGACCAATACTAAAATCATATTCAGTAAATAATACTAATCTCAGCAAACATAAGCTCTAAGTACACAATAAACATTAGACAAGGGTCGAAAACCCATTCTCTAACATACTCTTCTAGCACATTTTCTCCTATTATTTAATACATATTAAAAACTACAAAATCAATAATGGGGTTGATTAATTCAGGATTTAAATCCATACAAAAACCACTAATCTTAGGCAGTGGTAAATAGTGTGTTGGAAACATGCACAGAGTGTTGCTAACATTTCTTCGACCATCAACTCTATAACGAAAGTAACTTTCATCCTTATATCAACAGCACCAACCCTCTCCCCCGGCTATTCCTATTTTTAAAAATTTATTCTCATTAAATAAATGTTAAAGCCATCTCTTACTTGTTCTTGAATCTTCACGAAACAGGAAACATCCACACCCTTCTTTCGTTTCAAAAAAATCACATATAAACACCCAAATATAATCACTCTCACTTATGATCTAAGATATAAATTTTTCCACAACCCCAACAAGGAATCAACCCTCGATTTGGTCCCATTAACGGCATAAGCATGTGCCCTACCTCGTGACAATACAAAATGCCAAACAAGTTTGTTTCACATAACAACAGACAAACTCACAAATAAAACGAAGTGCTTTCAATTTGACGGTCCCAACGCCAAAGTAAAAACGCAAAACCGAAAGTAACACTTACATGGGCAAGACTGACACTGACACAACCGGTCCTTATCGGAAGAGGTGCCTTTCTTGCAAGTCTTCAACACTTTCTTCAACCTGATATATTCAACGTGAGCACATTTCTCGTCCAGAAACCACTCCCGCTCCTCCTGCAGGTACTCTCTGAATGCACACCCGAACTTCATTCTCCCTTTTCCCACTTCCAAATCCTAAGCGAAAAAATGTCACATAATAATTAATTATTCAATGACAATGATTATTGGAATTATGTATGGTTGATTTTACAGCGTACCTGGGACAGCTGTTTGAACTTTATGTGAGAAATTGAAAAGAGAAAAGATAAAGAATAGAATGATAATAATTGTTGATGGTGAGTGACCAGAGAAGAGGGTACTAAAGGCGAGATAAACGGTGGAGGTTTTCTCGAGAGCATAACCGATGAGGGTTTATGTTGTGAGTATGAGAATCAAACACAAGACGAATCTCATGTCGTCTCAGACTTGATCGAGAACAAAGCAGCTGTCGTGAGTTTGAAGCCACCAAGACCCGCGCATATTTCGGAAGTTGTGTTTTTATCTTTTCTGATCCACCGAAGCAATCCGTGTTTCTTAATTAATTTAGTTCTTCAAATATATATATTGTTTCTTAATTAATTTAGTTATATTTTAAACTATATTTTAATATGTAAAATTAAATTATATCTAGCCTCTCTTGTTTACTCTTTGAGAGAGTTATTTTCTTACAAGAAAACGAGTATCTTCCTTTAAAGTGTGTTTGACCTTTTTGAGTACTTTTGCAACATAGCGCAGATATAAAATGTTATTGGAATGCACTGCTTCCGTGTCAACCCTTCTATTGTTTCGTTACACTTGGCAAGGCCAAGTGGCCTTACGTTTGAATATTTACTTTGTTTTCCTATTTGTAAGATTAATTGTCTGATTTATCAATATTGGGAAAAATAATTAATTTAACTAATTATAAAAAATTCACCCTAAATTTATATATTTAAACAAAAGTATAATACTTTTCCTTTTTCCAATTGTTTATCAATAAAAATAGAAACAAATAAAACACTTTATCAGGAATCTATGTCCTCAATCATAAAAAATATAATTTGGTTCCATAGCCCGTTTACTACAAAAAATAAATAAAAAATAAAACTTAGTTTATCGAAAACAAAACCTATGTAGATAAACTATTTCTTAAGGAAATATATTTAACCTATTAGGTTGTTCTATTTATAGACATATATAATATTATTATATTACATATATAGTTATTATATGATATACTAAATATCTAATACACGTATTATATATAGAGAGAGATACTAATAATATAATTATTAATATATTTCATTTCAACAAAAATTTAGCAATATATTATTGTTCAATTCATGTGTTGTTTTTTTCAGGACAACATATATCTAAAAAAGTATATACAGTAAGTAATAGATAAATTTAAAATATATTTAAGTCTAATCAGACATGATATGTTTCAAGATACAATTAGTGTGTTTCAATTATTAATATTTTTGTCTAAAAAAACTAATGTAGAAACCATTATGAATCGAATCTTACAAAAGATTAACATTGTTTTTAATTTGAATTTTATAAATAAAATAAGAAATTAAAGATACATTAATTATTTTGAATAATTTTATTTTGTATTAATTATTAAATATACTAACTTTTTTACTTGGAAAACATAAAAAATAATGTCATAAGTTAATATATATATATATATACATAAATCATTATATATATATATTATACGTGTGTATAGATATGTTCTCTGAAACAATCATTTTAAAGAATAAAAAAAAATCTATTGTTTTACCTATTTATACGTGTGTATTAAAAAATTTAATAAGTTGTTTTTTATTTAAACTTAACAAATTCATCCTAATTAATAAATATAATAATCAATTATTATACTTTTATTTAATGTTTGAAATTTCTCATATATGAAAACTAAGAGTAAAGTATACATATTTACTATATCATGTTAATACATTATTATGCTTTATTTGAATTATAAACTAATACTATTAATTTGCATATAAAAAGCCTATATGACTAAATGCTTTCTTAAGTTTCAATTATATTCAGTTTCATTTTATTACTGTTTTTCATGAAGTGGTAAGCGTTCTTCTGGATCATGTATATGATGTCTCCTTTTTCTTTTAATATACAATAATAATTTAACAAGTTATAAGAAACAAATCCCAAATATACATGTTATTTTCAAAATTAAAGCACCATATGATATATAATCTTATATTTTCAATGCCAACTAAATCATTTAACAATTTATTTCAAATATATATTATTTTGAAAACTCAAATACACCTTATGCTACATCAATTACATATTTTATTTTATTTACGTATTTGAGCAATTATTATTAATCTCTTTCAATGTAACTTAACTTTAATATGTTTTTATGAAAAAAAGTTATATATTTATTATTAAAATATAAAAACATATCTCAATATAAATTACTTATCGTAATCTAAAATATAATTTACATATTAAATATATTTATGTATTATACACCTTATCTATATAATATATATACTTTTTATATGTTTAAAAAATCATTTATTATAAACTTTAATGGCCCTATATATATATATATATATATATATATATATATATATATATATATATATATATATATATATATATATATATATATATATATATATATACACTTTTTTGCAATCACAAACTAGTATCTTTTACATATAATTATAAAATTTCAATATTTGCTTCCCACATCTGAGAAAGGATAATTTGTTTAATCAGAGCTAATTCGATTGCAAACCCTAATTTCCTGTTCCAAGGATGCGTCTCATTCCAAAATTGCCTAGTTCCGAAGCAAATATCAGGGCTCCCAAGTTTTCAAGCTGAAGAGCAAAGAGAAGAAGGAAGAGCTTACTTCCGTTTTACTTCAAAGACTTTGTTCCAGGTATTTACCCTTTCTTCCTTTCCTCTGTCTAAATTTTACCCAATGTTTTGATGTCCATGTTCGACTTTTAATTCTTGTCTACCGGTCGGTAGCATTTGGATTTCCAAGTCGTGGGTTTTTGTATTTCACTGCAATAGAATGTGGCTTTGAAAGCCGTGTGTTACTTAGTTCGTGATCCAACTGTTCGTGCATTTTAGCAAACAACGAATGAACATATTATAGTTTCAGTGATACTTACAGATTAGGAGACGATACTTAGGATTGTCACGATTGCGTGAAAGAAATTCAAGCCTCCCTTGTTGTTAGTTAGTTGATAATAGATATGTTGTAGTTTTTGCTACAGTCTTTTTGAGGACAAAGGTATGAGAACTTTTTGTTTCTAGGTTGATGAAAAAACTTGTCAAGCTATATGTTTGCTTGTTTGTAACTTATTGCAGAGAGAATCTTTCTGTTACTTCTCTGAGGATTTTGTTGCATTTCATTTGCATCTGCACCTTATGGACTGGGTTATTATTCTCCGCTTAATTTGAATTCGAAAGTGCATACAGTTAGTATTGCAATTTGATCTGTGTGCTCATCTTAATCCGGAGCAAGTTTCTTACACACATAATTGAACCCCAAAGTGGATACAATTTGAGTATGTATTATGTATAGAGCTGTTTGTATTGTGTGCTTTAAATTATTACCTGAGCTTAATTTCTATGTATTACGTGTGGAAAAAAAATATTTACTTTGTCACTTAAGCTGAAATCGTAGTTGATATGACAATATGTTTTTGAAGGCAACCATTCTAAAAGTTAACAAACTTTATGTACATAACAGTTTAGGATTGAATATCATTGTAAAAATCTTTCACCTGCATTATTTGTTCTTATTTTTAAAGGGTTTTTTTTCATTTATATTACGTCTTTTATCAAATGAACCTAGAGTTTTGTTTGTGGTTTTAATGTTATACAACCTACTAGTGACATGCAGGTTCTTAGCTGATGGTGAAAACAAAGCAGAAGCGCACAGGAAAAGTTCCTGGTAAAAAAAGTGGTACTTCTTCACATGACCTTGTTGATTCTCGAAACTTTGACAATCAACATGAGGATAGTGATTGGGTTATAGTGAAAAAGCAGAGAGTAACCATTCTGGTACCTGCTGCGCCTCTCAAGGAGAGATCGGCAAACCAAGGACCAAATCACACACAACTTATGCCTCCTGAATTGGCAAGTAACCACGTGCGGCTTCCCATCGAGACATCTACTATACATCCTTCAGGTAATGAACATGAAAAGACCACTTTATTGACTGGCCAAAAAGAGACACGCACCGAGAGAAGAGCTCCTCCGATCTTACCTAAACCAACTGTGGTCAATCCACCATCTGTAGATCAGAGAACAGAATCAGATAATCCACGTCAAATGAATAGTTTGAAGTCACATAAACAACATGGAATTTCTGATACATCAAAAGTTATTAAGCAGCCCAGAATACTACTTCCACCAAGAAGGCCCTCCAACCTGGAAACTTTGAATAAAAACTTGAGAGCATCAAATCTGGAGAGGAAGCTTGAAAGAGCTGGTGGACTGAGCAAGTGGCTGACATCACTTGGACTGGGGCAGTTTGTGAGAATTTTTCAGGGTAAAGGTCTAAGCAAGTATCAGCTGGTAAATCTAACCATGAAAAAACTCAAGGATATGGGTGCCAATGCAGTAGGACCTCGTAGGAAACTGATTCATGCCATGGACTGTGTTTGTCAGCCATATTGCTTTGAGACGTTGTAAAAGGTTTTAGAATTTTGAAACCATGTATAAAAATGTTCCAAGACATGGTACAAATGCAAAACTTTTGTTTCTGGATGCTTTTGTTTTGTAGTTCACAGTACTTGGGTCTAAGTGTTGGTAGAGATTTATGTATATAAAAACTAAACAAGCTTTGAGACGCATGCTAAAAAATGTTTCCTTGTAGATTGGTGCATTCATTCACTTCAATCTTAGTTAGTGTTTTTAATTTTTTATCAACATCACAAAGCATTCTCTCACCCGAACCCTTTTGCAATTAACTCGGTTTTGTTTTCATTTTGATCCCCTCAAATCAAGGGTATCTTGCATAAACAGGAACACACTCCTTCCTTAGAGTGTGTGGATCAGTACTAGGTTGTTTCATCAGGCATCCTCAAAATTATGCTTTTCAGAATATAAAAAATACATTTTGAAAAGTCCGTTTTGGAATAAATGAGAGATATTTAAGGAGGTAGGAAAAGAAAAGGCCTCAACACTAATTTGGCTTTGTATTTTAGTCTATGGACATCCTTCCATGTATTCATAATCATGTATATAAATTAAACAAGTAGGAGTAGCCCTTCAACCTTCCAAATGTTATTTTCATGTCCAACTTAATGGACAGTTGCCGATAGAACCAGGGCTGTGTGGAGGGCAAGACCAATAAGACCACCATCTTAGGCTCCAAATCAAGCTCCTTGAAAAATTTAGTAAAAATATTTTAAATTTTAGATTTTATGCGAATTTCTCGATGAAGCATACTGCAGTGATACCGTGAAGTTTTATAATTAAGACACGAGTCTTGCATAAGATCTCAAGTTTTAAGAATAAAAATCTATTTAAGCGTTTAGTCTTTTTAAGTTTTGATGTGTTTTCCATTTTTACGGTGAAATATCATATGACTATAAATATACAATTAAATTATATTTATATTTATTTTAAATATAATATTAAGATATATCTTAATAATGTTGGGACTGTAGTATTATATCTTTCATGTGAGAATATTGTATTACCCATCATTAAATAAAAACATATACTCTTAACATAGTGTTTTATGTTTATTTAAAAGAAAACCATTTTAATAATTTTTTAACTAAAATTTTAAATAAGCTAATAAAACCTGTCTGTCATACCTGTTAATATATTTTTAAAAGTTTCAATTTGATATTTTATATTTTTTTTAGTTGTCCATTTTCACTATTATGTTTTTAAAAATGTTTATTTTATCTTTTTTTAAATTAAAATATTAAATAGGTTAGACAGATGATTCAACTCTGTTAGTTTTTTTTTTTTAATGGCTAAAATAAACTATTTTATAAGATAAAGTACCACATTGAAATGCAATAACAGCAACATAAAAAGCATTAAGGTAACATTTGACCTATTTCAATCAACAACATATCATCTCTAATTTCATTGAAAAAATTCCTTTCCAAATGAGAATTTGTTAACATATTCAGGAACAACAACAAAAACTATAATCAATGAAAAAAAAATTTGGAGCATACATGATTCATTGATGAGATTGCTCTAGGATAAAAAAAATTGTTATAATTAGGACGAAATGTAGATCTTAATCCGTCAATAAGTTTTTTATATAAAAAATTATATATATATATATATATATATATATTTATTATATAAATAAATCTTAAATTTTCATTTATTAATTAATAAAAATAATATTTTTATTAGATAAATTAAAAAAATTATTATATTTATATATTAAAATAACTAATTATAATTAATGGTTTAAATATAATTATAATATTATAATATAATTAGATATTTTAGTACTATAACCAAAAATATATAATATTTTAATTATAATTATTTTTTATTTTAATATATAAATATTATTTTAAAGCAGGTCAATAAGTCTGTTCATTGCGCTGTCGAGACGAACTAAAATTATTAACTCATTTCATCAACTTTTTAAGCGAATTAACTCACCGAGCTTAGCTTCTTTTACCATCCTACTAGATAGAAGAAAAGGAACAATAGGAGTCATCCTCTCACCCCAAATCAAAATTTATTATTATTATATATATATATATATATATATATATATATATATAATTTTTTAAAAATTTAAATAAAAATTATTAGATAAATATGAATTAAATTTAAATTTTTTATCTTTTCTTATTTAATTTTTTTATTTATAATAAATATCATATTTTATTTTTACAGAATTTTTACTTATACTTTTTTTATTCTATTTTTTAGATTTTTATTTTTCTTTTCTCACTTTTTCATTTTCTCCTAACTTTTTCTATCAAACAATTCATCTTGTTTTTTCATAATTCTATATTTTATTTTTATCATTTATTTATTTTCTCATACGGTTCCCTTTCGCACTTTCACCTCACAACATCAAAATTGTGAATGTTTCTATTTAAATTTTATTTCTTTTTTATAATTTCATCTCCATAACATAATATATAGAATTTTTTATTCTTTAATTTTTTTTGTCTTCTTTCAAAAAGACATAAGACAAAAAATTAAGAAATAAGAGATAAGTTACAATAATTTTTTTGTTTGAAATAAAAATAAGTAAATTTTTATTTATTTATTATATAATAAATTAGCATGTTTAATGTAATATAAAAAATATGAAATATTGATAAATTTTTTTATTTATTATAAATTAGTTAATTATTTTAATATTTTATAATATTCAATTTTGAGGTTAAATATAAATAAAAAAATCAATTTAAGTTTTAAAGATATCTAAAAACAAAATTATAGATTATTTTTTAAAAGAAAAGAAATAGGTAAAATAAATTTTATATCCTAAAATTTAAATTTAATAAGTAATATTAATATATAATATATTTTTTTTATATAATAATTAATTTTTAGATGATCATTTTTTTTTTCGGTGCTACCCGCAAAATTATGCTTGCACTTCTTGAACAAGATTGAATTTTTTAGGGAATGAGAATAAGAGATAGCTGTGTGGTGAAAGAACTTACCTTACAAATTTCACAATGTCAATATTGGCTTTTTGTTTGCATTAAAAAGAATAAAAAATAAAACAGACAACAACTAAATCTAATTTTAACTTCTTGTCTAAAATATTTTAGTTTCAGTGCTTATAAGAGATAATCATGAAAAATATATAATAATTAAGATGTCAGTTAATATATCTCATCATTAAATTAACGGTTTAATTAACATCATCTATTCGAACCCATAACATTAATAACAAATCTTATTTTAAGTATTAATTTTAAAATTTTAAGATTTTAGGAATCAAACAAAAAATATTATCCACATAAAAAAAAACTGTAAGACCGTTAAATCTTAATTATAATAGTTAATTTAGACCTATATATTAAATATGTTCTAAGAAAAATTAATAATTACTAGTGTTGTAATAAAAAAAATATATTTTAGATTAAACTGAACAATAAGACCAAATATTCATTATTTTTAAATTATATTTCTTTTATTAAATCATAAAGAAGTGATATATATATATATATATATATATATATATATATATATATATATATATATATTATTTGTATGAACTGAATACATGATAAAATTTCTAATAATTTATGCACTCCCCTCAATCAACTAAAAATAGATTCTTTTGATATAAATAATAATTTAAATAAAAAATTATCATTAATTTATTGAGCTATTAATAGTATATATACATCATAACCAACATGTGTTTCAATTGATAAAGGATTATTTTAGTAATAATAAATGCTAGCTTTACGTAACAAAATTGTTCATGTTATTGCGACCCACCACTTGCGTACTTTTTCACAAAGTCTTTTTTAGAAAGCCCATAAATATTTATTGATTTTGTATAAATAATTAATACAATAAGTTATTTTCAAGTATTAAGATTTTTAATAATAGTTTTAAAGTATTGGAAATTCTATTGAATTGATATGAGTAAAATATTACGGTTTAAAGACTAAACCGATAGATATTTCATATTTAAGATATTAATTTACAATTTTTTGTTTATTTTAAAAACTAAATAAAAGAGAAATTTATATATGAAATAATAACATTTAACGTCATGTTTGAGTTGTATTTCTCAAAAAAATGAAAATCAACGACTAAAAGCATTAAATGGGCCAGAATATAAAAGAGAAAAAAATGTATTGAAAACATTTCTTACATAAAACAACTTTGTAGAAGGTGAATCACAAGAATGCATACACTATAAAACCACTTAAGTGGTTTAGAGTATGGACACAGCATGTTTGAAGAAAAAGGATGACTATTTGAATAAATGAATAAAGAAAAAAACAAAGATAAAGAATCATTTTTTTTTAACCTTGTCTTTCTTTTTCTTCTTTTTTCTTTATTTCTTTCCTCAATGATGAAAAAGATTAATGTGTGCATGCAGTTGCAAGACGCATGATAGGTGTCAGTCTCCTTATCTGGTAAACAGCTTGGAACAACAAGCACAGATTCACTGGACGTTTTTTTTTTTTTTTTTTTTTTTTCTGTTTCCAAATATGCTGTTTGTCTCTTACCATTTTAATGATGAATTAGGTGTTTTCTTTGTTGTCGATCCATTGACTTGAAACAAAAACACATGGTTATGTTGTCACTGATCACCCACTCGTTATTTATAGATTCACACCGCATCATCACCGATCACCTCAATACCCAGCTCATCCTTTGGATTCTCATTCTTATCCCTGTAACTATCACGGCCTCTTTTCACATGGAGAACCCCTTTTCAGTTCACTCGTGAACATTCCGGGTAGATCGGTACCCAAAGAAAAATGGAGCGGGACGCAAAAAACATCGTATCTCCTCTATTGGAACCTGTGCCTTCCAAGAGGGCTTCCAAGCTTCAAACTTTGGGAAACATCATAGTCACCGTTGTCGGAACTGGGGTCCTTGGATTGCCCTTTGCTTTTCGGATCGCTGGCTGGGTCGCTGGATCGCTAGGGGTTGCTGTCGTCGGCATATCCACCTACTATTGCATGCTCCTTCTTGTGGGTGATTCAATCATTGCATTTATTTATTTATTTATTTCCTTTTTTTCTAATGATTCTTTAAAATATAGTACAATACCCTCGTCTAATAGTGACATTTATTTAACCTTTGGAATAAATCTGCTGGTGTAACGTGATGTCTGATTAGTTGAAAGTAATATGACTGATAACACAAGTTAAATGGCAGTGTAAAAGCTAAATTATTTTTTCTAATCCTGCTGAGAAAATGTGGATACTATTTGAATTTTGTAGCACAAATCAATTCGAATTTTTCTTCTTGGTTTTGGGACAGAGGGTATTATGAATGATCGTGAATTGGCAATTGGTACTTTTTTTTGTTTTCTAGCCTTATAATTATCCTTTTTATATTTTTTCATGATGGGGTGCACTATGTCTTTGACTTGGCGAAAAAGAAATGAAGTGCGTGAAGTATAGTCACATGGTACATTTTTATTTTATGGTTGCTGTTCCTGTCTTTGTAAAGTTTAGTTTTTATTTCGTGGACACAGGTTAATTGCAGAGAAAAATTGGCGTCTGAAGAGCCACTAGTGGAATCAAACACATATGGAGACTTGGGTTATAGGTCTTTTGGAACCTTAGGTCGGTATGTGACAGAAGTTATAATTTTGGTAGCACAATGTGCAGGGTCTGTTGCTTATTTTGTATTTATTGGACAAAACCTTCATTCTGTATTTGAAGGCCAAGGATTATCATTAGCCTCGTACATATTTATGTTGGTACCTGTTGAGATTGTATTGTCTTGGATAGGGAGCTTATCTGCGTTGGCTCCTTTTAGCATTTTTGCTGATGTGTGCAATGTCTTAGCTATGGGAATTGTGGTGAAGGAAGATATACAACGGGCCTTAGGGGAGGGTTTTTCATTTGGAGAAAGGACAGCAATCACATCCAACATTGGGGGATTGCCATTTGCCGCAGGCATGGCAGTTTTTTGTTTTGAGGGGTTTGGAATGACACTGGCCCTAGAGAATTCTATGCAGGATAGACGTAAGTTCCCAAAATTGCTGGCTCAGACTTTTGGTGGGATAACACTTGTGTACATTTCTTTTGGGTTGTGCGGTTACATGGCCTTTGGTGAAGAAACTAGAGACATTGTAACCCTCAATCTCCCTAGGAATTGGTCATCTCTTACAGTACAGGTAGTAAAGACAATCCGTACTCCAAGCTCTTCAGTTACACTTTAATAGTTTTCTTGCTGTTAGCTATTCAATGTAGATCTCTTTCCTCTTTTTTTTTTTAACTCTGTTTTCTTTTCCTTGACTAGTTTATATATTATCCATGGATATATCACATATCCCACCATTCCAGTAGGATTTGTTGGCATTTCAACATCAGAAAACACTTGGAATAGCCAACATAGAATTGATATGATTTGGTGGAATCTGTTTGAAACCCTTTTCTATCCAATTAGAGTACTAGTGGCTAGCTTGAAACACCAAGTGCTAGGAGGCGATGGTGCTTGATAACATCTGATAATTATATAATATAACAATGGATTTTAATTTTTGTCAATTAATCTAGTTTACAACAAAGAATCATTCCTAGATTGTTTCTGATCTGTCTAGACTATCTAGTGAAGTATATGTTGCTGTGTGTAGTACATAATATATGCACATATTCCTACATCATAGTTTGTCCCTGGACATGTCTATTACGAGCATACAGTTTGCAAAAAAGTGCTTGAAAAGCCAACCTACGTTTCTTTTGCCAGGACTCCATTATCTTAAAATGTTTTGTTGTATATAATATTGCTCAGTGGAGAGACCTCTAACATTTTATATGATACCAGGTAGGATTATGTGTGGGGCTTGCATTCACACTTCCAATCATGTTACACCCAATTAATGAGATTGTGGAAGGAAAACTAAAAATCATCCTCAGAAACAATAATGATTCAAGGAGACTAGGAAATATTTGCCTATACATCAGTCGAGCGATTGTGGTGGTTGGACTGGCAGTCGTAGCTTCATTCGTGCCAGAATTTGGTGTTTTTGCCTCATTTGTGGGGAGTACCTTATGTGCAATGCTCTCATTTGTTTTGCCAGCCACATTTCACCTAAAGCTATTTGGCTCCTCTCTATCCATCTGGCAAAAAGCCTTGGATTCCATTGTATTATTGTGTGGATTATTTTTTGCTGTTTATGGCACTTACAACACAGTTGGAGTTTGATGTAATCAACATGTATTCTAGTTAGTTGAACCTTGTATACAACTCAATTCATTAATTTTAAGCGTTACAGCTAAATGTTAAACAAGCCTGCTCAATCGTTTCATTCAGAGTTCTTGAGTTCTCATCCTCTCTACGCTTTTCAGTTCCACAGAGCCGTATTTGTACTTAACCAATTATAAAATCCACTATTCTTTTAATCTATAAAGAGTAAAGGAGAGAAGGATGTTCAAAGCATTACTTTCTTGATTACTGGAGTAATTAGATGTACTTTTACTTGACCGAAACTGAATATCCCCTAAACTTTAACGCACACAAGTTAATGGGATAAAAGTTGTATGATAATCCCATTCCTTCCAAACTCCGTAACTAAAGTTTGATTGGTCCCGTAACTCCGTATTATGCATTCATTTTAACAGTTTTTCTTAACTATTTTAGTTTTTCAAATGACTTATTACATAGGTTGTTTATAATGGATTTCTAAAAGCAAAAGCAAACTACATTGGAGTTAAGTTTTTTATCCTTTATTTATTATGTTGATTACTACCACTACCTAGGTCTATATGAAAGTAGAATGAAATGGTATAATATCTGAAAACTTTTCATCAAAACCAAATGCAAAATTATTATTTGCATGAAAAAACCAAACTCAAGCATAAAACGTGGAAAAACTGGACTTCTATGAAACTACTTTGCTTGAACGGGGAGAAGTTTTTATGGACAAGTTTTACATAGATTGCAACTCAACTATGAGCCCATAGGAAAAGTTATCATTAAATATGTGATTGAGAAAAATGCCACATTTAGATGTGAGAAAAGAAGCAAAAACGTATTAAATATTTTAGGCAGCGTTATTAGAGCATCTCCAAAAAGAAAATGTATATTTTTAAAGTTATTATAAAAAATTATTTACGAATAAAAATAAATATTTTATTATAAATCTTATATCTGAATTACTTAAAAATTTAAAAAAATTATTTAAAATTAAAAAAAGTTATTTAAAATTTAAAAAAATTACTTAAATAAATAATTCTGACTCAATTTTAAACAACTTAATTATAAAATTCATAATAAAATATTTAATTTTATTTTTAAACAATTTTGATTAAAATCCATAATAAAATATTTAATTTTATTTTTAAACAATTTTAATTAAAATCCATAATAAATATTAATTTTATTCTTAAATAACTTTATTCTTAAACAACTTTAGATAAAAACTAAAATAAGACTGTTCTACTTTATAAATAAGTAAATATGAAAATAATGTACATTTTTACTTATGTCGTAATAAAATTGCAATTCCTATTAATACCATGCCAGCCTTCCCACACATCAGAGCCACTTGCAACTAGAATTGTAATAATAAATCCATCTCACGAGGCGTTTGATAGACTGCATTTATTGAAGTATACACGTTTATTATACTTCTTTGAGGAGAAAACCTCATAAAACAATGAGATATTTTAGTTTCTATCTAAAAAAGTAATAATAGCTTTGTATATCAGTTGTTTGGTATAATAATAGAAAAATTTCTACCTGAAGGGTTGCTGGCGAAGGGAATCAAACAACTAGAATGTTAAGTCATTGTTTGCTCATGATTTGGATTTTAATTTGTTGTTATGTAGAAGATGGACAGGGAGAAAGGGGCTTGCGGAAGGAGGGTAACTACCGAAAAGAGAGAAAAAAAAAATTACATCCGTTGCTATAAAAAGTGAATCCATCTCATGGTAAAAAATTGGTTCCCACAATGGCAGACTTTGCTGTCCCACCGTAAAATTAATCTAAGTTAACACAGTCGCAACGGCTGCGAATTATGTTAAAAATGGAATCAAGATAAACAGTCACAACAGCGTATATTGTATATCTCCACAATTACCACCAACATTTTCAAGATTGCAACGATAAGCAGTAGCTACCAAATTAATCTGGAAGAGATTTGACGTTACTTATGTACCACTATTCAACAGAAAACCATGCGGCGGAAATAGCTACTAATAGAAGACAAATATTATATTAATCCAAAATTCAAACCATGATTCATATATTTAGCCAAATCATACTTCACTCTTGAAAATTCAGACCATAATTTGAACGAAAATATATAAAAAACAACAAGATAGGCTGATAACCTTTGGCATCCACTAACTACCACAAAAATCAAGTCACCGTTTTGATTCAAAACATCTAGCGCAATCTTCTTGCTTCCCTCTCAGATTCGAGTAGGGTGAGAATGTCACCTTCTCTCACAGGTCCTTTCACATTCCTCATAATGTGACGGTTCTGATCATCCAAAAACTTAACTCTAACCTGGGTCACCTGTCCCCTGGATCCAGTACGACCCATAACTTTGACAACAAGAGCGTGCTTCACCTGAGACTCCATCCTGTTCAAACACAAACAACACTTATGATATGAAAGTGGAAAAAAATTGGGTTTATTTCATCACATATACTCAGTCAGTGTGACAGAAAATCAGGAAAAGAAAATGTGTCCACCCTCCAAATCCAAAAGAACCAAAACCTAAAACCATAATAACTCTACAACTTCAAATGAAAATTGAAGACATCCAAACTTAAAGGAAGTGAGAAAAATGTGTTCACAGTTTTACGCCAAGCATACAACTTATTCTCTGAGGTTAGGTAAATAAATAAATAAATATTAACATTAATCACATCGAGGGAAAAATGAAAACCTTATCCACCTATAACATCAATAACAAATTTTCAACAGACATATGTAAACTTTAAACTTTGTTCCATCAACTATAATCTACACCAGATTTTTTTGTTGGAGGACGACTAAAAGAATGTAAAATTCAACATAAGATCCACCCAAAAGTTGATGATTTAAAACAGTATATAACTTTCCAAGGTCAAAATTTCAGATGAAGAAGATTAAGGAACATAACAAATGAAAAGTGTATGTTAATGAACAAATCCAACATGGCATTTGTTAAACCACTAGGCTAATTTACCAAACAAGCCACAAACTTGCCTCACAAAATTATAAATTCAGCCAAAGCTAGCGACCCAAACCAAATCAAGAACAAAATATACACCACAAATTCCAAGTCACGTAGAAGGAAATAATTCCGGAATGAAGTTATAAATGCAGTAACAGATAACGATACACCTCACCGTAAACTCAAATTAAAGAAAGCAGTTTATAAATAAATTTCAAATCACACTAAACGGAAATCGATGAAGCGAGAGCAACACAAGAAAGATAATTTAGAAAAAATGGATCAGTGGTGGATGGACCTGAAGAAAGTAGGCTAGGGTTTTGCGATGCTTGCTAACACTTTCTCGAGACAGAACGAGTAAATTCTATCTCCTAATATTTATATACGGCCAAACAAGTCGTACAATGACATTTTTACCCATAATGTATTTTTGTGGTGAATAATATAAAATAACTCTATATTTTTCAAAATATATTTTCTGCCTATATATTATTTATACTTTGTTCTTTCTGAAAAGAACTGTACTTTATTATGGTAAATATAAAATATTTAAAAGTGGTTAGGATTATTGCATATATTAAAGATATTCAAAATCAAACTAATTTAAAGAGTGACAGATGATTTCAAAACATTAAAAACGGAAGAAAATTATAATTTTATTACATTTTTTGGATTTTTTTAAAACTATGTTTATTTTAGATTTTGAATTATAAACTAAAATCATAACGAAACACAACAACACAGTTTATTATATCTAAATATAATAATATATATTTAAAATTTATTTTTTATATATAATTATAATTCTTAAATATTGCTTTATAATTTAATTATATTTTATTTATGATATATTTATTATTAAAAATATGATATAATTTTGGATTTATTTTTAAATAAATTAAACTTATAAATATAATAATAGTTCTATTTTTTTTACAACATGTCTCTTTATTTAAGAGTTTTTCCTCATAAAATTTGTAACAATTTTTTATTATAAAATGTTTTACAATTTTATTAAATTATTTTATAATAGCAAAAAACGTAAAACCAACTAAAACTGAATCATGAATATTAATTTGATTTAATTATAATTTTATATTAAATTAACATTAAACAAAAAATAATTGTATTTGATTTTTAAGTTTCGTTTGAATGATTATTTAATAACAAATAGAATCCAACCAAAACTCTTATAATCTGTCAATAAAAGGAATTGATTTGTGTATTTGTATTTTAATATATATATATATATATATATATATATATATATATATATATTTACCATATTTCTTTATACGCTTTTCTATCTTAATATCTATTTTAATATATTTTATGCTTACGCTTTTTTTACTTCCATTAACATAAATGTGTTGATGTCACAAATCCTTTTGAGAATCGAACATAAAAATTTTGCACTAATTATATGTGTTTAAAAGAATAATGGAACCCATAAGATTATTAGAACATAATCAAGAAACTAGTCCTCCAGGATAAAACTGAATTTCTAAATTAAAAAATTTCAAAAAAACCAAATTTTTTTATCAATTCATATTAATAGATATAGGATCCTCTGAAATAACTTCTATTTCCAACGAAAATGTCCCTCGATTATTCAAAATTACAAATTATCCTTTACTAAAATTGGAATCAACGCTCCTTTGTTTATATATATATATAAATTTATATCCCTTTCACCCTTATAATTTTTAAAAATGTTAACTACTAATATATAATGATATAGCATATTTTACAACTATATATTTTCTATTAAATATATTGTATATTATTTTATTCCATTTTTAATTATTAATAAAGAAATATATATATATAGATATATTTATTGTATATGATATTATTACTTATCTATATTACAATATAATATACTTTTTTTATTAAATATATTATTATGTTGTTACTTATAAAAATGTTTTTTTAATAATTAGTAAGAAAAAAATAAAATAAATTATTATGATATTATATATTAGTAGAAAGACGTGAGAGTAAAAACATATATATAATGAGTACAAAAATTAATATGAAATACATATAAAAAGTAGATAGGAAATATATTGTAAAAAAAAGTAAAACTAAAAATAATTTTAAAGAATTAATAATTAAAAAATGTTGATATACAAATATTTTAACCCATGTATTTTTATTTATTTATATTTTATTTATGTGTATATTAATGTTAGAATTATTACTTTCTAATATTATCATTAGACCTAAATATAGGATGTTAAGTGTTGAAAACTTCCTACGTTTGTATCAAATTTTTCATTATAAATAGAAGAAAAGGAGAAGGGTCTCGTGAGCCCTGAAGATATATATTTTCTCTATTAATCTTAAGTTGGTATCAAAGCGGGTCGATCCCGCTCTGGTTTCTGTCTGGTCTTGTCCACCACCATCGATCACCCATGTTTGCGACTGTCCACCATTAGCCACCGCTGTCCGCGACCATCCAAGCTCAGTTTTATCACTATCTGAAGTTATCCTCTACTATGTTGGACTGTCCAACACTGTCAAGCATCTTTCCGTCGCTGTCCGCTGCCTTCCGCCATTAGCCGCCATCAGCCACCGCCCCCCCCCCCTCCGCCGCCGACAACCACCGCAGTTTTGTCTGGAAACCACTAGATTTGGACCGCCTCTCCTAACGACAGCCAACCCTATCGGTGCCGAAGGAAGACTCCTCGCGATGCGCCGCCACGCGCACCATCTCCGTTCGTTGCAGCCAGGCGCGTGCAGTCCACGCGCCGTCGTGCACTCGCCAGATCGTCACTGCGCCACCTCAGTAGCTTTCGTCCGAACCTCCTCTATTTGTTTTGACCTTCCAAACTATGTTTTGGTGATGTCCAGGCGTTCCCCTTTTGGAAATCTCCCTAGGACTTTCAAAAATCTTCGTTTTTTTGCATATATGCTCTCTGTTGTTGTCCTCTTGATCAGAAATGGCAACTGGAAGTGCTGGAAGCACTATTTCATTCTTTAGAAGTCCTTTCATTACTTCCGAGAAGCTAAACGGACAAAATTACCTCCCTTGGTCTGCTGCCGTCAAGATGTGGTTCCTTGGCCAGGGACATCATGATCATCTTGAGAAAGATGAAAGCCATGTGCCTGAAGAAAAAGTCGAACAATGGAAGCAAGCAGATTTTTGGTTGTGTGCCTTGTTGTGGCAATTCGTGGAGCCAAGACTTTTAATGTCTCTTAGGGCCTTCAAGACATGTCACTCTTTTTGGAAGAGGACTAAAAACATATATGCCAACGATATCCAACGCATTTATGATTCGGTAAACAAGCTGACATCTCTGAAAATGACCAACCATGATATGATCTCCATTCTGTTTCCAGATAATCCTCTTTTCCACATTTCTCCCCGTGTTTTTGGTTGTGTATGTTTTGTTCATGACATGTCTCCAGGGTTAGACAAGCTTTCTGCTCGCTCTCTTAAATGTGTCTTCTTGGGCTATTCCTGTCTTCAGAAAGGGTATCGTTGTTACTCTCCTGAAATGAAGAAATATTACATGTCTACCAATGTCACGTTCTTTGAACAGACCCTTTACTTCTCTCTATCTGTTCAAGATGTTCATGTCATACAACAAGGTCTCCCTGTTCCAGTGGTTGAGTACAATCTTTCCAATGTCTTTGTCAATCCTGGTCAAAGTCTTGATCAAAGTCCTCTTGGGTCATCATCTCCACCTATTCATACCTCCCAAAAAGATAGTCCCATTTTCCAAGAACATGGTGAATCCCCTACTTCAGATACTTCTCCCTCGTCTCATCATTGCTCTCAGAAAAGGTACTCGTTCTACTTGAAATCCACATCTCATTTATAATTGTCTTAGCTATCATAAATTATCACCTTCAGATTGTTCCCTTTTATCTTCAATATCTTCTGTTGTTATTCCCAAGAATGTGAATGAAACACTTGATCATCCTGGATGGCGACAAGTCATGATTACAGAGATACAGACTCTTGAACACAGTCATACTTGGAAGCTCGTGTCCCTCCCACCAGGTAAGAAGGTTGTTGGTTGTCGATGGGTGTATGCAGTTAAAGTTGGCCTTGATGGTCAAGTTGATCGACTCAAAACTCGATTGATTGCAAAAGGATACACTCAGGTTTATGGTCTTGATTATTCTGACACTTTCTCTCCCGTGGCCAAGATGATTACTATTCGTCTCTTCTTTGCCATGACAGTCATTCGTCACTGGCTACTTCATCAATTGGATATAAAAAATGCTTTCCTCCATGGTGATCTTGAGGAAAAGGTTTACATGGAGCAACCTCTTGGGTTCGTTGCTCAGGAGAAGTCTGGTATAATATGCAAATTGCATCGTTCTTTATATGGCCTCAAACAATCACCACGTGCTTGGTTTGGAAAATTCAGCTCCATTGTTCAAAAATTTGGGCTAAGACGTAGTGAAGGAGACCATTCTGTCTTTTACTATCATACATCTCTCGGGAAATGTGTTTACCTAATAGTATATGTTGATGATATAGTCATTATAGGAAATGACATTGCTGGAATATCTCAACTAAAGGAGTACTTGTGTAGACATTTTCAAACCAA